GGAAAGAAAAGAAAGAAACGGCCGTGTTTCACCTTGATGGGTTCTCTTGTCGTTTCTTTTTCTTCAGGTTCCCCTCCTGTTCCATTTACACGATGCCGCGGCTTGTCCATCTTCCCTCGGAGAGAATTGTTCGATTTTTTCCCGTCTTGATGCAGTTGCATTCCCGTGAAGTCGCCAGTGGTGGTAACAAATGGACGACAAGGCGATATACCTGTAGAGAGTAAATGACGAGTTCCCGCCTCTTGCACGGCCTGTTCTGCACGTTCCTGACCCGTTCTGAGTACCATTGAAGTATACACGAGTAGCACCGGACCTTGTCTAGTCCACCTGAGAATCTAGGGGCTCATACATGTGCTGGGTTGCTAAAGGAGGTCTGGCAATCACCGCCGCGCCTCACAATGAGTGGCTTGAGTGAGGCGTCTATTCATTCATTCGGTCCAGTGCTTATTACCGTGCCTGAATGGCAGCTGCAGGTACGACGTCTTCGCCCTCAATGCATCCCGCCGCACCCATCGTCTCCCCTCACTCCTTTGTACATACAAGAGTCTACGAATGTAATACGAGCAGGATCGCACAGGTGCCGCCATCTCGGCGAGGGAAATGGGCGCTCTAGTTCCGATCCGAAGGATAAGGTAATTGCGCCGGCTGCTTCGCTGGCTCGCATCAGCCCATGGATTGATCGGTATTGGCAGCGCGCTCGATCTCGTGCTCCGTATTATCCTGAGACCCTTTTGCTCCCACTGAAATTTAACCTGCAGGTGGGATTTGATGGATGTACTCGCAGGTACCAACCAACAACGACGGGCTCCTTCGTGCGAATGCTGCCGAGAGCCTAAAGTTCCAGCTCCTCCTCCTAGCCCAGGGCTATCAGCAGTCAGGCACCTCGAAATTTGTGACAGAATGTTCCCGATCCATGTCGACCTTCCGTGACGATTGTTGCCATCCATCACAGCAACAGCGTCGAACGGCGGCCCTCGGGAGCAATGGCCGTCTGTTTGTTTGCCATCTGACAGCGCAACACGCCGTCGGCTACAGAGGCTGACAACGGCTCGACGGTGCCACCAGCTGCCATTTGGTCTCCTCGGTATACGTTTCGATGAAGGAAATTGCTTCACTGTCGGTATCCAGCCTAGCGACCAGGTGTCCACGTTCCGCCTGCTCTCTCCGATCGCGATCGCGATTCTCGGACGCGGACGCGGCTGAACCTTGCTGATCCTTGCCTGGGCAATTTGATCCTTTGGACGGCTCTTTACCAGCTGCAATGGCAAATGACGAGCATTTCCCGGCCCTTAGTAATGAGGTGGGCTCCAGAACGAGAAGCGCTCGCAAGTTGGTGTCGAGGTTTGAATGGTGGAATACGAGTTAGAACACGGTCAAGCCACATGTGTTTGACGACATCCGGCTCCGCCACAGCGGCGCCAATTCAGCCACGATCCCTGATAGCGCCAGGCACAACTTGGTTAGTAAGGTACAGTAGCGATACTCCGTATGAGTACATGTACCCACAGCTGTTTACTGCCGCCTTTAGCAAACGCGATCTTGACGACTTCAACCCAGCAAACAAGTCCAGCATCTCGGCATCTTAGAGAGATGCCCCGAAGCAAAAAACGGAAGCGCAGCGGACATGACGCGTCGTCCAATCACAGTCCCGGCTCGTCCAAGCGTTACACGCCCGTGAAGAAGGATGTGCTGCAGCAGCACTATCCACTGGTATGCACCCTTAGGGAATACGTCCTTTCCCAGCTCCCGGATACCTCAAGGATCAGGCGGAAGAAGATTGCAGCCTTGGGGTCCGGCACAGACGCCAGTGAAGTCGAGACGCAGCTTTCCCGTCTGCTCGACACTGCCTTGGTCGGTACTGCGCCGTCGACTCCAAAGTCCGATCCAGGGGCCTCCACCTGGGAGCAGTGGCTGTCCTTCTCCCAGAAAGGAGATGAATCGTATGTGACTATATCTAAGGGAATAGCTTCATCGTTCGGCAAACAATCCGAGGTCTGTTCATGCTCTGCCCCGTGTGCATCCCGTAGCTCGAACGAGGCTAAGTGGCCCGAATGTAGATTGTTGATTTCGTCATCTGGCTGCTGTTTTCGAGGGGAAAAGGACCGTGGCCCAAGCATGTCCTTTGTGATGGCTTCCGTAGAAGTGCCAGAGAAGATCAGTCCGCCAGGTCAACCATTCCCGGGATATACTCTTACTATCCCAACTTCCATGAAAAGGCACTAAGAGACGCTCCGTGGCCACACCTTCTGGCTCTCCTCGGCCAAGCCGGCGAGAAGGTGATGATCGACCTGCTTTCAAAGTGCTCGGTATTCCTCAAAGTTGATGCAGGCCTGGACAATTACATTCAGCTTACTGGTTGGTGCAATACCTTGGCGCCTTGGGGGTACCCTTTCCTGACCGTGCTTTCCAGGTGTCCCCCTGTCTGAAGCAGATGCCATGACGCCAGATGATGGTCCAAAGTCTCAGGTCCGCAAACCCTCAGAGATCACTCTCGTTCGCAGTAGAATATTCTATGCAAAGCCGACTACAACAGCAAAGGGCTTAGTTCATGCGGGTTTCAAACATATCCGTATGTCAAACCCCCTTTCATGAGTTATGCAAGCTTGGGATGAACTGCTAATCAGACTAGACGCTTTGAACCGCTACCCCTACACTCGTGAGGCTGCCGGCGCCGGTGCAGATAGCCGGCAGTCGACAGAGATCCAGCAGAAGAACGAGGCAAACACGATCAAGCTCATGATGCACATCTTTCCGCGCCAGTTCGGCCTGCACAACGTCTTTACTTCTGCTGTCGACACGAGTCAAACAGCCCAAAAGTTTCAAGACTATACTTTCCGCGAGGATGAGATTAAGAAGCAGATGGGGCTTGATAGACGCTCTACTGAAAAGGGATTTCCTAAGCTGCCTAGAAGACTGAGAGGCTCAACGAAAGAATTTGTGCGGCGGTTGCAAGTTCTGCATGCTCGGTGTTCTTACTTTGAGCTGCTGAAGCATTACTGTCCGACATTTCTCGATGGGCCTGATGGAAGCAGGAAGAAGCACGGCGATCAGAAACCACCCGCCCTCTCAGCGCCGACTCCGAGTCGGGCAACGCAAGCCGATTGTCAAGTCAAGCGGCGCACACGCCGGCATCCTGCAGAGAATTCGGCGCTCCCGGAGTATGAGTCCCTGGTGGAACTGGCCTGCCCGGTGGCATGCGTCTCAGCGTTCTGTCAGGCCGCCCTTTCGAAGATTATCCCCGACAGCTTTTGGGGCAATGAGAAGAACTGCCATAACAAAGCTGTGTTTCTCCGCAAGGTAGACCATTTCATCAAGCTTCGGCGTTTCGAGACGATTTCATTGCATGAGATTGCACAGGATTTCAAGGTTCGTAACGCTCTTCAGCGGAACGAGGGCGATTGAGGCTGTCTACTGATTACGAACTATAGGTCACAGAACTTGCCTGGCTGGTGCCCCCGGTCTGCGAAGGGCAAAAGACCAGCCAAACTGATATGAATAAACGATACGAACTATTTTATGAATTTCTTTACTATGTTTTTGACTCCCTTTTGATACCCCTGATTAGGACCAACTTTTACGTCACAGAATCCAATACGCATCGCTTCCAGGTCTTTTATTTTCGTCACGATGTCTGGAGATTGATTGCAGAGCCTTCGATGGCAAATCTCAAGGAAGGCATGTTCGAAGAGGTCAACCCCAATGAAGCCAAGAGAATCCTCGATTCCAGGCGACTCGGCTTCAGTCAGATAAGGCTACTGCCTAAAGGCACCAAACTACGACCGATCATGAACCTCAGGCGCAGACAGATGCCGCACGGTAAGAAGACCAAAGTGCTAGGACCCAGCATCAACTCACTTCTCAAGCCAATTCACACGGCACTCAAGTTTGAGAGGGTATGTATCGTGACGGAATCTCTCTCACTGTTTGCCTGCGACTGATCAATCATAGATTACCAATTCATCCAGGCTGGGATCAGCGCTTTTTGCGGTTGGTGACATTTACGAACGTCTTAGAGCTTTCAAAACGTCTTTGGCACCAAACGGCCAGCATACATTCTATTTCGCCAAGTTAGACGTCAGGGCAGCCTTTGACACAATCCCTCAGTCGTCGGTTCTGAATCTGATGGCCTCGGTTCCCAGTCAGAAACGATACCTTTTGACGAAACATGCAGAGGTAAAACCGGGTGAGCGATTGGGTCTCACAGAAGGACAGACCATAACTAAACCAGTTCGCCGTTGGCACTCCACAGCCATGCCCGTGAGCGACCCGATTCCCTTTCTCGACCGCCTCGAAAGCGGCATGGGGAGCATGAAGAAGAACACAATCTTCGTTGACAGCGCCGTCCTGCAGGTTCAAGAGACCAGCGGCCTTTTGGCTCTCCTGTCCGAACATGTAGGGCGCAACATTGTCAAGATTGGGAAGAAGTGCTATCGGCAAAAGAAGGGTATCCCACAGGGCTCCATTCTGTCAACGTTTTTGTGCAACTACTTTTACGCCGACCTTGAGGCCCAGCACTTGGGCTTTCTGAACGAACCGAATTCTCTTCTCATGAGGCTCGTTGACGATTTCTTGCTCATTACGCTGGACAAGGATAAAGCCATCCGGTTCGTCGAGACCATGCACCAGGGCATCCCTGAGTTTGGTGTTGAAGTGGGCCGCGATAAAACACTCGTCAACTTTGACATGGGATTTGAGGGCGAGAGCGTGCGGAAGCTGGATAGAGGCAGCAAATTCCCTTATTGTGGCACGTTTATCGACTGCAAGACGTTGGAGATTACCAAAGACCGACGATCAAACAAGGACATTGGTATGACTCTTTATGAAGATTTGGTGAAGATTGGAAACACGTCTCGAACTCAAGCTGACAATAGGAATTCTCTCTAGACGCATCGGCATCCATGACTGTTGAATTCGGCCGTTCACCAGGCCAGAATTTTCAGCGGAAAGTGCTCAGTCAGTGACAAATGCCTTGCCAACTGCTTCGTGTTTCTCATGGTCAGCTAACATGTAGAAATACAGACTCGTTCAAATACCAGTCTCATCTCATGTTCTTCGATACAGAGCACAACTCGGTCGACACAGTACTGGGCTCCCTGCGCGGCGCATTCTCCGAGACTGCGCTCAAGATGTGGGCTTACCTCCGGAGTTTATCTGCTTCCACGCGGCTCTCGGTGAATGTTGTCATCGGTGGGTCATGTCCTATTAAATCAAGAAGTTGTCAAGTATGCTTCTAACCTCTTATCTGTCATAGGAACAATCAAAAAGGTCGTGGACATTGCGTTCCTCATCTTGACGAGCAAATGGAGGAAGATGCGGTTCGAGAAATACGCCTGCGAGATTCGCAAGGCGCAGGTCATGGCGTAGGTCAACAACAGTCAAGGAAAGATGTGGTATGGTGGGTGTGACTAGGCTTGGCTAACTGCTTCAAGGACCGGATATTCTGCCTTCTTGGAAGTGCTCGGCCGGAGACAGACGGGATATGGCGAGGTTATTGCCTGGCTGAAGGAGGAGACTGCTCGGCTTGCCACGACAAAATGAGGCTGATATGGGAGAATGCAAACGCACAAGTAGGTGGGCGACATGTGCATACTAATGGGAATACTGAGCACGCGCCGAATCCCAACAAACGCCGTCTATCATTTCTCTTTGGAGCCCCTACAAACATATTGACGCACATATACCCAAGCATAACTCATCTACAAGGCTATCCCAGTCTGCCACCACGTCTCTCCAATATACACCTTGGGTAAATGATCCCTATCCCAACGCCACCAATGGTCCCCCTCAAATCCAAGTCCCATAAACCGAAACAAAGAAACAGGAACCGGCTCGACCGTCCAGAGCCCCGTCGACGACAGGTCATCCATGAAGAGCCCCGCCGTCAAATACAACCAAACCAACGCAAACACCAAATTGCCAGTCCGCCGCACCACCCGCGGCATCCTCCGCACATGACCCCCCAAGAGCCACGCCGCCAGCCCCTGAAGCAGGATACCCACCATCTGCAGGAAGAAGAACGCCGGCGCCCTCCAGGGCTTCGTCTCTGGCACGGAGGTGAAGCTCCCCGAGGCATGCAGGACGCCCGACTGCGCAAAGGAGACGAGGGCGGCGACGATGGAGGCCAGCGGGGTGCCGCGCCGGAGGTAGCCCTCGCGGAAGAGGTACGTCGCCGGCGCGGAGAACTGCATGCGGAACGTCTGGTGCCAGAGCCCGCCCCACCAGCCGGCGAGCCCGCGGTCGAGGACCTGCTCGAAGGAGCCAAACGTCGAGGCGAACTGGAACAGCGCGGCGCGGGAAGGGTAGAAGCGGCTGGCGAGCCAGTACTGGGCCAGATCGGAGACGGCAAAGACGGCCTCGATGGCGGAGTAGACGCCCGCGAGGCAAAAGATTTCGCGGTAGGCGAGGAGCAGCCAGGGGGGTACGTGGCGGAGACGGGGCGGGAGCAGGTAGTCGACTTTGTCGTGGTCGGGCCCGAGGACAAAGTACGGGTCCTTGACCATGTACACGGAGAGGAAGTCGAGGACGAGGTAGAGGATGAGGAGCTTGGCGAGGCGGTCGCGGACGAATTCGCCGGTGGTGTGGTGGCGCCTGTAGCCGCTTCTGCTGATTGTTGGGACGGAGACGATGTCGACTTTGTCGCCATGGGTAATTTGGAGGGGGATCTGGGGGCGAGGGAGGGAGGAGACGGACCAGTTCCAGCCTTTTTTGCGAAGGATCAGACAGGGTCAGCCAGCCAAGTCATGCTTTTACACGAAGTTCGAGATCGCTTTAATAGAATGTGCTGCTTACCGGCGCCTCGGAAACTGAGAATGAGGTCTGTAGTCCATCCCAGCCGCTCTAAAAAGCTGCCGGCCGAAGGATATGGCTCCCAGATGTACTCAAATCCTTCCTGATCTTGACTGGTATTCTTTTCCAAGCTCCTGGATGGGATTTTTGGCGTCCGAAGGCCAACTGCACTTCCATTTCCGTCTCCATTTGCGTCCCCCTTTTCTCCATCATGGCCAGTAGTAGAGCCGACTCTCGTATCTTCTGGCCGGCGCTCTCCCTGAGCGCTGTCTGCATCACTGCTGGCCACCCTCGTCAAACCGCCCTCCTGCTTGACCCTTCGCACCCGCGCAGCGTCAAACTGCGGCCTCGTCCAAACGAGCAGGTTCAGGCTCAGGATGGTGCCCCACGTCGCCGCCAGCCCGGCCGCGTACGCACACGCCATGTTCGCGCTCGACACGTACCGCAGGTGGTAGACGTTGGACCAGACGACGACGGCCATGGCCAGCCACCGCGTGCGATAGAACCAGCGCCGACGCCGGTGCGGCACGGCCAACCACAGCGCGGGCACGACAAACGGGCCCAGCAGGCACCAGGGGAGCAGCAGGGGCTTTGCGGCGCCGCGGGCGAGGGCGAGCCTGAAGGCGTCGCCGTAGGCGGTGCGCACGGCGTATGCGAGGCCTTGGAGAGGCGTCTTGGTGATGATGGAGTCGAGGTCCGGCGGCTCCATCATGGTCATCTTTCTGAGATCTCGATAGCTCCCTTTTTCAGATGCCACGGCTTTCTTCTTTTGCTTCTTCTTCTTCTTCTTCTTCTTCTTCTCCTTCTTTGCCTGCCTTTTACTCTGCCCCCCTGCTTTGGTCGCGTGACAGCTCCGTAGTAGTATGCAGACAAGACGGGGGCAGCCAAAAGGGAGGAGATTTTGTCTCTGATCAGCCAGTAGGTTTTCTTGACCCGGTCATGATTGCGTTGTCGCAGAAAAAGCACCCGAGTCCCGTTCTTCCGCCCCAGCCCCCATGTGATGTGAGACTTTAGCCCGGGCCACGTTTTGATACGGGTGTTGTTTTTGCACGCAACACACAAAAGCAGGGAGAGAGACTGGAGGAGGGCAAGGGGTGGAAAGAAAACAGCGCCGCCTATCACATACAAAATATAGTGGCAGACCGGCGGTGTTTTCTTTCCACCGCATGGAGGGTAAGGTAGATGTGAGAGTGAGCTCAAGCCATGCGCCGCGCTTTGTCTTGGTGGCGTTCTTTTAAGACATCGGAAACAGGCGGTCTGGTCCCGGTGACACCATTGACTCTTGTTTAATCGCTTTTTGCCTCCTTTTGGTCTCCAATTTCACCGTGGCGTCGCTGAGGTGGAAAAGACGAAGGAGACTCGGGCACGGCGGTCGTGAATCGCTCTGCTGGTTGATTCTCGTTCGTACTGCAGGAGCCGACCTATCGGGACAAAAGGTGTGCAGGGGAGCATTTTGCACGGTTGAGACAAGCATTTGCGGCTGAGCCTTGAGGGACAAGGGTGGCGACGCTATTGTAGGTACTGTCGCATTCGATCTCGGTGAGCTAATCTCCGACTGTGTGAAGCTGACTTACCCGGCAATCGTCGTCATGTTTCCCATTGATCATGGTCTTCGACATGAATAGCTATGCCAAAAAAAGGCATACCGGTAAGATGCTGTTCTCATTTGACTAGGTGCTTAATCAGTCACGCTACTATCGCGACTTTGGGCCCTGTTTGGGACTGATGGTCGTGATTGAGTGATGATTATTTTGCTTGAGAGTGACTGTTGTTAAAACACCATATTGAAAAGCCCATCTGACGAAACATGATTCTTTCTGAACGGACGTAAAGACATGCTAGATCACAACTCTCTGCTCGATACAACAGAGTCAGCGGATATTAGTGTACCATTTACGCATTGTTGCTAAACTACCGGTAGATTTACGATGTGAGTTCTGGCGAATATATCGCGAAGCCATAGTATGCTTCACCTGCAACCCATTCTCAACCCTCCAGCACTCGCCTTTCAGAAACGAAACAAAAAGAAAAGAAGACGCCAAAACTGCAAAAAAAATCAAGGCGCATTCGCATTTCGAACGCCGGGATTTGCACCCGGGCTGTTGGCATCTGTTAGCAAGGCATCATTCTGAGCGGTTGACAGCTGCGGCACTCACTCTCTCCCTTGGGAGGGGAGCAGGTTCACTACTACCCCACGTCCGAGTTGCAAGCAATTGTTTGTATTGCAGCTTATAAACGGAAGTCCATCAGGGGGCTGCTGGTAATGGCCTGGGAGAAAGACCAAGGTAGGGAGGGCGTTGGTGAGCTGGCAGCTGGCACGCAGCTTGGACGTTTGCTTGTGCGATGGTGGTGAGGCTGCTGATAGGTGAGGCGTGGGGGGCAGGCATGGGAGGCTGCATACGCCCTGCTGCAGGCTGGCGTCGAGAGACTCCGTTTTGAATGAGCCTTTCGTGCTTTTAAGCTGCATTTTATTCATTGTATAAGAGCTTGTATTGGAAGCGGTATGTAATGCATCTCAGCCTGGAGGTTGGGCGTCATTGTTTACCGGAAGACGTCAACGGGAAAGTATCCGGAATAGCATACATCGTACTTGAACGTCATTCCGAATGCCGAATAGAAATAGATAGCAACCAGTTACCAGGGAGTAATGATTACCATCACCACCATCTCCCATTTCAGTTCTCATCATTTATGCTTTATTCAAACACGCCAAATACCTGGATAGACAGATACTTGGTGGAGCTGCTGGCTGCAACTCTCAACCGGGTTGCTCCGTCAACTCACAGCGTCTAATCACATGCAGTCAAGTCAAACAACACAACGACCGCCACTCCAAGCCAGGGTTCGGTAAGTACATACATAGCCTCGTCATCAGCCTCATCGTGTCCATGTTACCGCCATGTATAGGGAATTTCAATTCCCATCCCGTCCCAAGCACCCGCGCCAAGTCCAACCGTTGTCTTACTACTGCTATACTGCCAGCCAAGTGCCTGATCCATCTCGACTACTAGCTCAGCTCCGGCACAACACCAGCTCCCCCATCAAGACCCGTCTAGCCCCAGGCTGCTGATCAGCGGCATATTATGGGCCAGATCTCCCTAGCATTGGCACCAACAGCCCTAAATGGCTGTCGCGCCACGAGGACTCCGGATGTATCTCCGCGGCCAACTCCTCCTCGACGCTACCTTACGGAGTAGTACCTTGGACGCACTGGGTACAGTCATCACGACCACATCGTACCTTATGTGCAGTTGATAATGCTTATAAAGCGAAACCCAGCGCTGCTCATAAGGTATTCCTGCCCTTGTTTATGTAATGTCCCTGCCTCTACCCATCTCTGGACCCTCGGCCTCGAAGAGCTGCGCGCTGTCCGACGCCTCCGTAATTCCGCGCGACTCTGCTCGGGGAGAGTTGAGACAGAACCCAAGGGCATGGGCCAACGGTACCTGTACGTACACTTGGAAGTACTCATGAACAATTTCTGTCCATGCTCTCCGCTGACAAACCCCCCTGAGTCGGCCCATGAGTCCGTCCTGCTGCGTCTGTTGTTGGTTGGGTAGAGAACGTTAACGTCTCCATGTGTAGAGTACGAGTACCTGCGAGGTACCTGCGAGCTGAGGCAGCGCGTCTGCGCAATCCCAGCCTTTCGGCCCTACCTTGGGCTCTCCTCGCCGCAGCAGCTGAGCACGGATGCGGTGGTTGGGTCTGAATCATTCCAGAAGGCATGGAACTGAGCGAAGCACCTCTGCCCAAGATACGAGGAGGTACCTGTACCTTGCTTTGCCTCCTGGGGTCCTCACGTTAAGGTTGTCGCGTGGAAACCACGCCAGCTGGGTACCTGCTCAGTACCTCGATACTTGATCCGTCCGGTTTCAACTCAGGTACTCGTGGCCTGTGCAGAGAACGAGGCGCCGCCTCCGTGTGCTCGATTCGATACCTGAGCGTTTACCCTGATGGTACTCTGCCCGGGTACCCTGCGGTCCTTTACCGACCAGGTGCCGTTGGCCAAGCCTCGAGCCGTCAGTTCAGTCGAGCCTGCAAGTTTCTTGCTCTTAGGTTGCTCTTGCTCAGTCCTGGCCTCCTCACTCCTCACAGCCTCGCCTCAGTCGCCTCTCCCTCACACCTGCATCAAAGATATTCCGCCGTGCTGAGCGAAAGCCTCTTCTCCTCTTACTCCTCACTCACAGCCTCGTGCCTCGTGCCTCGATCCAGCCCTTTGTTTGTCCGTCTCGTGCGCCCCAACCTGCATCTCTGCGTAGCCTCTCGGAGACTTTTGCACCAGGTGCCGGACCGCCGTCGATTCATCCTCTTTTCTGCGCCCCTCTTCCAAAGGCCCTGCCTATCAGATCCGGCTGGCAGAACTTGACGCTGAAGCCAGAGTCGTACTGCGTTTGTGCGCGCCCTTGTGCTCGCATTTGCCTTCTCTCGCCATGCCGGCCATGGCTCTCAGCATGACCCAGCCAGCACCGGCTGGCCCACAGAAGCATCGGGCCTGTGATGAGTGCCGTAAGTCTCCGTGAGAGAGAGAGAGAGAGAGAGAGAGAAACAGGGTGAGGGAGGATGACAGAGGCATACAGAGGGGAGGAGAGAGGGGGGGCTCGCCGGCGAGTCCACGGGTGCGGGAGGCGAATCCGGGTCCCGGAGACTTTGTTACTGACTGCGTTTGCCGTGTAGGATCCCGCAAGATCGCCTGCTCCAAGGAGCCCAACGGCTGCGATCGCTGCCTGAAAGACGGCCACCCGTGCGTCTACTCGGCCCAGAAGCCCATGGGACGCCCCCGAAAGCGGCGGCATGCGGAGACGGACGACGGCTCGGCAGCCTTTTCTGTTCGCCTTCCGGGTTCTGCGCCTGCTACCGCTGCCTCCTCGCAGCCAGCGTCCTTACTCGGGTCTGTCCCGAGTTTCGTTTCGTCCTTTGCTCCAGCTCCACCAGCTCTGACTGCTGCTGCTCCTGCTACTGCGGTCACTGCTGCTCTTTCTCATGCGCCATCCGTTTCGATTCCCACTTCAACTTCAGCTCATCTTCCGCCATTTCCTCTCTTTGCCGCTGCGAATCACGACGAAGCTGCGTTACAGCCACTTGTTGATGCTGGCCATTTCCATAGTCAGCACCACCTTCACAATGCCACTGCTCACCATCACAACCATCACCAGCACGCTGCACCGACGCCATTTCCAGTTTCGGATCTCATGGGCACATCCCTACAGCTTGACACGCTCGACCTTGGCCACCTGCTGCTACCCGACCAGGGTCTTGCCAGTCTTGATGTTATGGGGATGAATTCCAGTGTGCAGGCCACACGCTTGCAACCGCAGAGCCAGGAATTGTTCGATGGCGGGGTCACGTCTGCCATGGCTCTGAGACAGCCTGGTTTCTTCCAGGGCCTTGACTTTGGAGACAGCAGCGAGGCCATTGATGCCTTGCCCAAAGCCTCCAACGACTATCAGCAGAAATGGACTCCTCGATATGAGCAGCTTCCAGCACTTAGCGACTCCAGCCCAAGCAGCCATTCCTCCAACTGCTTCGAATCATCGGACCCTACCAGCGCGGATACGACGACCTCGGCATCGGAATCATCAGCACCCACCCACTGCACTTGTGTCTCCTTGATCTCTACAACGATGCCCTCGCTGATGTCACTCCCGGCTGATACCTTGTCCGCGATACGCGTCGCCCGCGAGGCCACACGATTGGCACATGATACTCTCAACTGCCGTCAATGCTATTCGGACATGTATGATCTCTCAAAGACTGTACCCGCCTCTCGCGTTCAGAGTTCCGTGTACCTCGGGGTGTTCGTTCGCACGGCCTGCAATGCCTATAAGTCGATCTTGGCTATGATTGACAGAGACGCTGAGAGGGCCAAAAAAGACGGGAAGCTCATACACTTCAGCCTCCAAGAAGTGGGCGGGATATTGGCGCGCTTCATGGACGCGGGTAGGGATTGTACCTCTGTCGATTACGCACTGCTCAAGTGCTATAACAACAAATCGCTGCAGCCCGAAATCTGGCGGACCAACATGCGAGCCATCATCAAGGTTGATGTTTATGGATCCAACCACCTGGCAACATTTGGTTGGCTGGACCGCAGCATAGACTCGCACGACTACCTCTATCGAGGGTTGAACGATGTCATCCTGTTACTCGACGAGAGGAACAACAAAAGACACGACATGGCGGATTCTCTGATGCAGGCGTGCTATGGCCACGCAGCGCAACCAATGTCATGCCAGCGCCGCCAGCAGAGACATTGCGTGTCTATGCTTGATGAAGCGAGAATGGAAATGAGTAGTTTGGTGATATCATAGGCAGGTTGCGACTCATGCGTTCTTGACTTGATGAGCAGTGAAAGCGGTTTGCCGGACTGGAGATTCTCATCATTCAACTGGGATCATCACTCCTTCTCTTCTTTCCCATCATAATTCTCTTCATTTGCAATTCTTTCTTCTTTTTCCGACTTGTTTCCACTCTTTACCCCGCTTCTTTCATATCTGGGCATTGAGTATACGTGAGGAATGGGGAGCCGGCGTTTTTGGTTACCGGGGCGAAAGCATGGGACATGAAGGGCATCAACTGGATGATACGGGCCTTGAGGCATCGATTGGATAATTAGGCGAGCGCCTTGAATGGTTATGGTCTACATAAATTGGCTATATGGCGTATGGAATGATTACATGGTGTCGAACCAGGGAATACAATTGCTGGTCGTATCAGTTAGCAAAAGCTACTTTGGTAGAGTCTTATCCCCCTCGGTAAGACTTGAGGTATGGTTATTGGCAGCCTTTTCTTCTCCGTCATCATTGACTTGGTATTTCTATAAAAGTTCAATAGGACTTCATCTTTTTCATAGAGGACACAAACTTGCTACTACTTGGGTATATCATGTATGTGTGTTTGATTGTCTCCAATAGGTATGTAGGGAAAACGAAGAAGGAAGAGAAGGTATAGAGGCCAAATATACTCGACAAAAACTCCGCCGTTCCATGCAGTTTTCAGCAGTCCAGATGCTTGTACGTTCAGTCTGTGCCAACGCAAAAACCCCGACATCCCAAGATGATAACGCCAGCCCCTCCCTTTCCAGCCATTTCCGCTGTGCTGTGAATGCTATAATCAAAAGAGTAATAGAGAAAGTAGAAAAAAAGAGAATGGGCGAGCCATTCTTGTTTCGTGGAATTTCCTCCTCATTTGTGCATGTGTTCCGATTTTCATCCCCTTCTCCCACAGGGCAGCCAGCCTAGCCCCTTCATTAAGCATTTGATGTTGTTCAGAGTTTGTCCCTTTCCCCCTTTGTGAGGGGGTAATTCATATGCATCCCACAATCAGGTTAGGTTTCCCATATTCTTGCCCATCCGATGTCGTTGGCCAATTGTCAAGGGTTGACACCCCCAATCACTCTTCATCCTCAATCAGCGACAAGATATCCATCTCCGTCTTGACCAGCCTCTCAAATTCCTCCCTCTCAATGCCCGACGACCGGGCAAGCAGGTACAAGCTGCGGATACTCCGCGAAACGTGCTGCTTGACGCCAAACTCGTTCTGCTCCTGCTTGCCCGCGGAGGCCTCCAGCCGGGCGACGGTGTTGGAGCCGTTGGAGCTGGCGCTGGATTCGGGACGGGGGTGGAGGAGGGCGAGCTCCTGGGCGGACGGCTGCAGCAGGTCGGCGGCTGCTGCTTTCTTCGGGCTGCTGTTGCTGAGGCTGTTGTTGTCTGCTTCGGCGGCGGCGGCGGAGGACCAGGAGCTGCGGGTTTCGCTGCTGGGGTCTGCTGCAGCGCGGCTGCTGCCGAGGCCAAGGGGTGGCTGGACGTGTGCGCGCAGGAGAGCTTCCTCGTCTGGGTCGTGGTTGTCCATGGCGGGCTGGACGTCGTCGTACTGCGCGTAGTAGTCGTCGTCGTCGTCATCATCGTCCACGGCGGCCTGAGCTGCAGGAGCGAAAGCAGGAGCGCTGGCACCGGCTCGAGGCGCTGGGGAGCGATTGTTGGCGGGAGTGCGCGCGGGCGTGGCATCGTAGCGGTCCCAGTATCCGTCGTCGTCGTCATCGTCGTCCATCAGGTCTTCGCTGCTGGTGGTCGATCCGTTGTTGTTGTTGGTGGTGGTGGTGGTGTAGGTCGCGGCAGGTTTGGGTTCTTTGAACTTGGCTTCCGCCTCCGCAATGGTCGGCACGCCGCCGAACTGCGCAAAGGGAGCGGCCTTGTCGGCCAGCGTCATCTCTCCCACCCTCCAGCCGTCGCCGCCCCCCGCGGCATCGTTGACGCAGTACACCAGCTGGAACGCGAGGCCCCCCAGCTCGGACAGGACGGTCAGCGCCTGCAGCGTCTCCGGGTCCAGCCTCCGGTACCTCGTCTGGGCATCGTAGCTCCAGTCGACCTCGACCTCGCCCGAGACGGGATGGGGCTCCAGGCAGCCGCTCTGCACCAGCTCGACCAGCTTGGCGGCCTTGGCCGAGTCGTAGCACAGCAGCTTCAGCCAGGGCTCTGTGCTGGAGGAGGAGAAGAGGTTCACGCGCTGTCTCAGGATGGGCGAGAGGAGCGGCAGGATGCCCGTTGCGGGCTCGGTCGATACGGCGGCGGCTGGCAGGGCCGGGAGGATCGGGGCCAGCAGGCTGGCGAGATCTGGAGGTGCGATGCTGGCCATGGTAGGTCTCTCTTTTTTCTTGAATCTGTTGAGGGCGGGCAGAGAGAGCCTTTTTGCGGAAGGTGAGGTGGGAATGGGGCGGGTTTCGATTTGATGGACAGCGTTTAGTTCTTTGGCGTGATGGAGTTGATCAAGTTTTACTGGATGATGCCGGCGAGATTGTTTGTGTGAGGAGAGCAGAGCTTGGTGTTTAGGTTTGGTTCCTGAGGGCTGGAATTTCGTGGCAATTGGAAGTGTCACATGCGGCGCTCAGGCATCGAACTAATAAGCTGCAGTGGATTGGCTCAGGTCGCGCAAGTGGCTGAGTAGGTGGTGATGATTTCTTTTTTTTTTATAGAGGGAGAAGAAGATATTGGTGGGTGACGGATGGGTATTATGAATGGAGATGAGGAGAACAAGTAAAACAAAGAGGAGGAGAGGGAGGGAGAGACAGTGTGTGTGAGGGCGACGGAGTGACGTTAATATACACACAACTCCGTCACAGAAGCTCACATGCAGCTGCTCTCAGACATCGTGGACGCTGGAAGCTGGGGCCAGGCTTATGCGGGCGGCGTCAAGTGCATGTACTGCCCGGGTATCCGCCGACCCGGAGGCAACGTCGCGGCAAGGTTCCCTCAGAGTACTGCTTACCTTCTACACTCGGACGGCCCGCAGATTGAATCAGCTAGGTAGTAGTAATAGGTATTGGAGGAGGGGTCCCTTTCTGTAGCGTCTACTTAGCAGCTACTCGGCAGCCCCCCCCAATCAGGGACCGATGGGTACGGGGTCGTAGACAAAGCAAGCTGGATGGCGTTGCGGCCGGCCAATGAGCGGAGCGGTTGTGGCTCTCCGGGGGAAAGGAAGAACAAAGATGGAGGAGAGCGATTAATATCATTGCACTTCTTTTTGGCACGGGGAGATGGGGATTGTTTAATCTGCAATGGACTGGACGTTAGTGGTCAGTGGGGGAGGCGGGTTAGTAGTAGTTTGGGGTAACGTTTTATTCCCATCGCTGGCTGCTTCTTAAAGGGGGAGAGTGACGATGACGATGGCTGTGGTGGTGGTGATGGTGGCACGTTGAGAGTTTGTGTAGATGCGGTGCAAGGGCAGAGATCACCCTGGTTTCCATCCGTCTCCTCACCACTTGTGACGGATTATAGAAGGCAGCCTCATCTTATCCCCATCGCGAGGGTCTGCGCCTGAAAGGAAAAAAGTCGAGACTGCTGCTTATTGTCGCTGCATCATCAGAGTCCACAAGGGCTCATCCAGACAAAGACTCCTTCCGGTCAAGGCACCGCTCAACCGCAAGGATCAGCAGCCCCCCCTGCCGGAGCCTCACCGGAGCTCTTTGATGGGTTCCATTGCCCTTTTTCTCCGCCCTGATTTCTTCACATGCCAGATCCTCTCAGGAGCCCACCTTGCTGGCATTTCCTGATATTAGTTGCAGTAGTAATAGATGGGGATGTAATAGTAGATGAGGTGGACTTCCTTCTGCCCGTCGCTTGAACATGGGGGGACACGACACGGTCACCGACCCGCCAAAGGGGACCTCCGGCGACGCCAGCCTTGGAAGAGATGAGTTGCTGGCTCGCACTGCAATGGTAGGTAAGGTACCTAGTAGTATTACGGATACTACATACTGCTTTGCAGCATGCCTGATTCAACTTGCACAGACACACGGAGGCTTTGACGCCTGTAGACGGGAGGATTACCCGAATGATGCTCAGCTAAGACGGGATATCCGTTTCGGCGCATTTGCTTCGCCTGCCAGTCTAGGCACTCTGCCGTGAACATGTGAAGATGCAATTGTTCTCTGAAAAAGCACTGCATCTAGTTATACTTGCATTCTTTCGAAACAAACACAGACATTTGACCAGAGCTTGCAGTGATTCCCAGGCCATACGTCCAGACGGCTCTTCTAAGGGTGATGCCTTTGCCCATTCAGAGCATCCAGCAACATTCAGGGAGTACGAGTACCTAGTACTTGCTCCGTTCTAGGCGCTACCTCAGAACCGGCGCAACAAAACACAATGGCAGAGGTACCTGAGTGACTTGACCCTGTTCCTGGGCCCCGTGCCTGTCGTTTGATGTCATTGGCTTTCCCCATTCAGCGCCACGGGCATGGCGTCACATTTCGCTGTTGAACATTGAAATTGTAGAACAAAGGAAAACCACCAGAAGGAAAAAGTACACGATGTCATCGCCATGAGCTTCCCGACCACGCCACTGCCAGAATCACGATAACAACTCAAACCGAGCCTCAATTCCCGCGTCTTTTCAACGCTGCATCTCGCCCGGACGCCGCATCCCGCTCAAACGCGCATTCCGTCGGCTTCCATCCTCCGTGCCATTCCAGAAGCTCTATCGCAAACTCGTTATCTCGCCGGGCAAAAACATCATACCGACCTTACCTTGTCGCATCTCACACCAAACAGACCAAAAAGCAATACACAGCGAGCCTTGACCCCCCCGAACTCACTCCCGATCGAAACAATTCCACAATCAAAAGGACCCTCATACTCTTAGAGCACTCCTGCGCATCGCCCAACCCACCCTGAGGCGCAAAACTCCTGCATGTCGCCCCGAGGCGGCCACCTCAAAGATGAGGTCCGTTCTCCCCTGACCTCCCACAGAGATATCGTCTAAACTGCGCGCTCCGATGCTGAAACCTCCTCCTTTGCGTCTCCTTCACAGGGCTCCAAACTCCAAGTTGTATGCGCCGGTGCCATAGCCGGCCTCGTCTCTCGGTAAGCCACCTTTCGCTCTCCGAAACCACGGCAACTCTCCTCATGAGTTCTGCGCAATTGTCCCCCCTTCTCTTCTCGAATACAGCTGACAAGTTGTCCCTCCTCGCAGATTCATCGTCGCCCCCCTCGACGTCGTCAAGATCCGCCTCCAGCTCCAGCCGTACTCGCTCTCCGACCCTCTCGCCCCCCTGCGCGAAGCACCAGCCTACCGCGGCACCGTCCACACCATCAAGCACATCCTCAAGCACGAGGGCGTCACGGGCCTCTGGAAGGGCAACGTCCCCGCCGAGCTCATGTACGTGTGCTACTCGGCCGTGCAGTTCACCGCGTACCGCTCCACGACCGTCTTCCTGCAGACGGCGCTGCCCGGCGGCCGCCGCCTGCCCGACGCGGCCGAGACCTTCATCGCCGGCGCCGTCTCCGGCGCGGCCGCCACGGGCGCGACGTACCCGCTCGACCTGCTGAGGACGCGCTTCGCCGCCCAGGGCCGCCAGCGCGTGTACTCGTCGCTGCGCGGCGCCCTGCGGGACATTCGCCGCGACGAAGGGCTCCGCGGTTTCTTCCGCGGCCTGGCGCCGGCGCTGGGCCAGATCGTCCCCTTCATGGGCATCTTCTTCGCCTCGTACGAGGGGCTCCGCCTGCGCCTCGGCCACCTGCACCTCCCCTGGGGCAGCGGCGACGCCACCGCCGGCATCGCCGCCAGCGTCCTCGCCAAGACGGCCGTCTTCCCGCTCGACCTCGTCCGCAAGCGCATCCAGGTCCAGGGCCCCACGCGGAGCCGCTACGTCTACAGCGACATCCCCGTCTACACGTCCGCCGTCCGGGCGCTGCGGGCCATCTACGCGACCGAGGGCTTGCGCGGCTTGTACAAGGGGTTGCCGATCAGCTTGATCAAGGCTGCGCCCGCGAGCGCGGTGACGCTTTGGACGTATGAGCGGAGTCTGAAGCTCTTGATGAGCTTTGATAAGGATGAGGGAGAGACGTCGATATGATACGAAGTTTGTGCTGTGCCCCATGGAATTTATGAACCCCCTTGAACCTTTTTGTATGACTAGAATGTATTTTTTGTCTAGACTCTCTATGTAATCTTTCATGGCCACTGATGTGTTTCTATCCTATTGTGTCCACCAGTGTAACATATCTTTTTATCCAACAAGAAATCCGCTTTATACAGAAAAAAAAAAAAAAAAAAGAGACACACAAGACCGACTTCACTTGCTCAGCTGCCGGTTCGTCTCGTCCGCCCTCTCGATGCACTCCTCAATCACCTGCCAGAAGCGCTCGACGTCCACCCCCCTGGGGATCATGACGCCCGCCTCGCCCGCGGGCAGCGCCTTGGCGATGGTCCGGCCGGTCTGCTTCTCGCCGCGCTTGGCCTCCTCGGTGGTGCCCTCGGTGATGACGGTGACGTTAAAGCGCTCGTGGTGCTTCGGCCCTTGGCTCTTCTTCTCGTCCCAGTCGTAAAAGGGGATCTCGTCGGGGGTGCCGAGCAGGACAAAGGCCATGGCGAGCGGGTCGTGGAGCGGCGGGCCGGCGGTGATGCCAAAGACGTCGCTGAATTTTTCCTTTCGTCAGAAATTCGAGAAACGTTTTTCTTGGAAAAAACATGTTCAGGAGAAAAAGGGTTTCAGAACTTACGCATATGTCTTGGCGAAAAAGTAGAGCAGCTCGACAAGCATCGTCCGCAGCTCCGTCTTGCCCTTGCCCGTCTTCTTCTTCTTCTCCTCCTCCTCCCCTCCGTCGTTGCCGTAAAGCAACAGCTCCCGGACCTGCTCCGTCGCGAGCACCTGGTGGCTCAGGTCCAGCGGCACCATGTACATCTTGGCCGCCAGCTCCTTGTTGTCAAACAGCTCGGCGGCCGCCTCCGGGTCGACAAAGATGTTGAACTCGGCGTACGGCGTCGTGTTGCCGATGCGCTCCTTGCCGTCCACCCTGCCCAGCGGCGCGTCCGAGAAGCCGCCGCCGATGGAGCCGCCCATGATGCTCAGGCCCTTGATGTGCGACACCAGCTCCGGGTACCGGCGGAAGAGGGCGCCGACGTTGGTGACGGTGCCCGTGGCCACGAGCCAGGCCGTGCCGGCGGGCTGCGCCTTGAGGGCCGCGGCCATGGCCTCGATGGCCGGCTCCGGCTTCGGGGTGCACTTCGGGGCCGGCAGCAGCTCGGTGCCGTCGAGGCCGCTGTCGCCGTGGATGTCGGTCGGCGCGTGCAGGGGCGGTCGCTCGAGCGGCTTGTTGAGGCCGACGTAGAGGGGGATGTCGTTGTGCTTGCCAAACGCCGTCAGAAGAGAGGCGGCATTGTGCGTCGTGTGTCTGGTACGGTTTCAGCAGTCAGCTGCGAGTTCTGCTCGGCTTTTGTCGTCGTGGCAAGCAACGTGAAGGCTCTTCCTCGTCTTCTCTTCTGCCCCCCCCCTCATCATAGCACGTACTCGAGGGAAGCATTTCCAAAAACTGTCGAAATGCCCAGCAGGTTGATTCGGGGATGGTGAGCGGCCAGCAGGATGGCGAAGGCGTCCTTTTGCGGACAAGATCCGAGTTAGCTCGTTCCGTCTCCGATCAAGGCTCGGCCACCGGCCTCATGCAATGCGACCCTGCATGAAAGGCTTGCGTCTGAGGTTTGACAGAACTCCGAATGGGTCGGGAAACTCACATCGTGGCCCGGATCGCAATCCAACCAAACAGGCACTCGGGCGGATGACATTCTGACGGTGGCTAGGAAGGGAGGGGGTTTTGAGCCAGGAAACAACGCCAAGACGGGGAAAATGAATATGTTTTCTATGTCATCAAGCAGCGAAGAAAGCTCTCTTTATAGTTGGAGTTCCAGAGGGTCGCGGAAGGGCGCACGAGAAAGGGCTCAAGAATCGAAAGCAGGCATTCGCATTCCGTAATCGCCGTCACTCACAGCCCCCAGAAACATCAAAGTCCAGGATTCAGCCACCGCCCTGTCGGTTGACGGCGAGCCTCAAGCAGACACTCTCAGGGCAAGGAATCTATCAGGCCTTTCCGGTGACAGTTGATGCTCCATGGAAACCCGCTTCTACTTTTTTTTTCTCCGCAGTTCGCAAGCCTCGGAGTGGGGGAGTCCATGCAGCGACCGCTTCCTACTGCTGACCCCTCACGCACAAGTTGATGCTAAGCACGACTAGCATCGCCAGGAACCAAAAGTCTGTGTCATTGGCGTCTGGGATTTGATAATAGAAGCGGTTAATCCGGGCCACTAAGCCTCCACCCTGAGGGCACTTCAAGGACTCTGGAAATCATCGGCGTTTGGGCCTACACGTGACGGACCATCGTTGAACCCGGGTCGTCTTCACTCCTGAAGATCGCGGAGCTCCGCGATGGATAGCCAAAGTAGCCGGAGCTGAACAGTCATAATTGGGGTATCTAGGTAGTAGTAGTACGTATGGTGTCGCTTGCTCTTCTTCCATCCTGGGGCATGTAATCCGTAAAATGTCACCTAGCACATTGTCTTCTGCCGATTCAAGCAAGGCTGAGGCTTACTCAATCCTCTCACGCCGACTTCTTACGCTGCTCGACAACCCGCAACACATCGGCGGCGCTATTGACGTCGCCCTTTCGTTTCTTCGGCCCTCTCTTCCGCTTCGACCTGTCGCCTCTCCCGGACCCTTCCTCTCCAGCATCGTCGCCCCACCTCGATAGCTTGATCTTCTTGTCTTCAAAGTCCTCCTCGTCTTCAAACCTGCTGGTGCCGAAGCCCATGTCGATATCCTCGTCATCCCGGCTCTGCATTTCGAGGAGCTTCCTTCGTCGCTCTTCCAGCGCCTTGGCTTCTTCTTTGGCCTTGTCGTCCTGGTCGTCTTGCTCGATGGGTCTGAGAGATGCTGCTTTCTTGATTGCTGCCAAAATGGCGGGATCAGACATGGACGGCGCTCTGCCCGCCTCTTCGGAAATGAGGCCTGTCTTTGAGTCCCTGAAGTAATTCCGCCGTTCTGGTTGCGCCATCGATGGTTTCGGTGGCGGTGGCATGGTCTCGTTTGCCTCTGCATCTTTGCTTGCCTCCTGCTTGCTGTCGCTGCTCCTCTCCTCCTCATCCGATTCAGAGTCTGAGTCGTCGATTCCGGCTAGCGGATCGTAGTCGTCGCCGGCATCCTCAAAGATGTCCACGTCGCCGTCATCTTCTTCGGGCTCTTCCTTCTTCCGATATTGTTCGGGAATCTCCATCCCCAGTGGCTTGGCGCTCTTGTCTGGCATGAGTAGAGCCTTTCGAGCGTCCTCCTCTTCCGGTTGTACCTTGCGCACTTTCCTCTTCTCATGTCCATCTTCATCCACAATGATCAGAACCTCTCTGCCTTTGCTGTCCCTCTCGATCCGCGTTCCTGGTTTTTGCTTCGCTCCAATCTTCTTGAATCGGTCTCCAAGGGTGGATTCTTTCTGTTGCTGCGCTGCTAATCGGGCGGCCTTGAGCTCCGCTAAGATCTGATCGCGTGTCCTCTTCTTGCCGGGCGCCACGGGCACGGTTGTTAAAGTGCCCTTCTTCTTTTCTTTCTCTCTTGTAATGGCTTGTACGTCTTGTTCCTGGATCCGATCGAGCTCGTCCTCCACGTCTTCTTCTGCTTCTGCAGCCTCTTGCGCGCCATCTTCCGTCGTTGGCTTGTTCCCGTAGACATCCTCTCCTTTGCGTATCCTTTCGAGGAGCTTGAAATCCAATCCTTTCACCAGATGGGTGCTTGAGAGATCTCCGCCTGCAATCTGGAACCGTAGCTTTTCGTATGTCGCCTGGTCGATTTCTTCATCCTTAAGGGCCTTTTCCAACGCCTTCAGTCTCTCTTCTCGCTCGTCTTCTTCGGACTCTCGGGTCTTCGCTCTATCGACGTAGCCTGTCCCCAGTTTCACCCCCTTCGGCACGGATGTCTTGAACTTCTTTGCGGGATGTAGAGCTTGATTCCGTTCTGCCAGCTGTCTCGCAAAATCGGCCTGCGCGCCTCCTAAGCCCACCGATCGTCTTGGGAAAGCGCGTCAGCAGAGCCACTCCTACTGCAAAGGACGCAAACTACTTACGGTGTCATCGGGATGCTGCTTCGCTGCCGAGAACCCAGGGAGCCGGTGTTCGCCCCAGGGCTCGTGCCTTTGGGGGAGGCGCCATCTTTTGCCGATGTGCCCGACTTGGCGAGCAACAGCTTCCGGAATTGATCATTATTCATAATGACTGGGATGCTCAGTATGCGACAACTCTCGGCCAACAACGAACAGAGAGAAAGACAGCGAAAGCACAGCCTCGTCTTCCAAGGCTGGAGGTGTAGCGGCGGAAACCTTCCAGGTCACGGGACAGCGTGTGAGAGGCGCGCATGACAAGGCTCCACCCGACGCGGCAACTTTGCGACTCATCACGTCACCTCTCCGAACAGCCGCCTCTCACGCCTTGCAAAATTTCCAGCATCGCCAGTGACATGTCGCTCTCGGGTATTTACCAGCAGCCTTGCATGGAAAGTGTATGACACGAGGCGCATGGCATCGGACGTCCAGAAAATGCCGTCTCTAACGTGTCCAGCGATTCCCTTTCCCTGCTTTATCGACTGAAGCTGTGGGGCTTCACGGACAGGCGTTGCTCTTGATATGGGCGATCGTTCATCAGCCGGGTTCGCCAGCCGATCAATATTTGAACCCCTGAGAATACGTATGGTGTACTTCCGCTGGTCAAGATGAACAGCGTTCTGGAAAAGAATTCCTCTTCCGTGAGGAAGCGCATCGAAAACCACACCTTTGAGGATGAAGAAGGCGAAGAGTATGAGGGCAGCGAGTTCAATGGCTTTGGCGACTACTTCCGGCGCAAAAAGATCAAGCTCCAGAATCTGGATGCCGACATACGCGCGGCATCCGATAAGCCGCCGATATTCAAGGGGGTAGTTGCTCATGTGAATGGCTACACTCAGCCGCCCCTACAAGTGTAAGTGCTCCAGCTTACGACCATTGCCCATCAAGGCACTAACGTAGGCCCGGTAGCATTCACCACGAAATTGTTCAGCATGGCGGTGGCTTTCTCCAGTATCTGGACTCGAAAACCATGGCCACGCACATCATCACAGCGACCCTGACCCCGAAGAAGGCCATCGAGTTTAGCCGGTACAGGATCGTGAAGCCCGCATGGGTTGTCGATTCAGTAAAAGCCGGTAAACTATTGCCCTGGACGGACTACAGAGTATCGAGCGAAAGCCCTAGCCAGAAGGTCTTGAAGTTTGATAGCGACAAAGGACTTACTCAGGCCAGCCCGGCGGCCAGGAGGGGATACAGGGAGCAGACGGAAAACAGCTTCTACACGAGTCAGATTAAAGCTGCAACTCAGGGTCAGGGGGTCATTCAGCTGCCAGAGCAGTCTGTCTCGTCTAGCCGATGGCAAAACGACATTTCAGAGATCCTGCCGCAAGGCGCGGAGACCGCCGCCATAGCCGCAATTGAAGGACATTCGACAGTTGATTTGGACGACGAGGATTTTGAGAACGAAATCATCAACTTCGAGCAGCATGCAGCGGCCCAGTCGATCGGCCAGGCAGACACGTCGGAATCGCCGTCTAAGCAGATGACATCGGAAGAGCATAACGCTTGGCTCTTGTCGGATCCAAGGATAAGAAAGTCATCTACCGCAAATCCCGACTTTCTCAAGCAATTTTATTCGGAGAGCAGGCTGCATCATCTCTCGACATGGAAGGCCAACTTGAAATCGTCGATGCAACGACTAGCGGCCGAAAAAGGACTCTCAAACAGAAAGACCAAGAGCCGGCCGGGCTTGAGGAAGTATATTATGCACGTGGACTTTGACGGTTTCTTCTGCACAGTATCCTTGAAGCGTCACCCTGAATATGTGGACAAGCCCTGTGTCGTCGCTCACAGCACGGGTGCTGGATCAGAAATCGCGAGCTGCAATTACGTTGCTCGGAAATCCGGGGTCAAGAATGGCATGTGGATGAAGAGAGCTCTCGAACTTTGTCCAGATATCAAAGTTCTGCCCTACGATTTCCCCGCATACGAAGAGGTCAGTCGGCAGTTCTACGAGGCCATTATGGAAACGGGTGGCATTGTACAGAGCGTAAGCGTCGACGAGGCCTTGGTGGATGTCACAGATGTCGTGCTTGCGGCAGCGCAATCACATGGTGTTGGAGTTAGTGAGGGCAGTCTATGGAGAGAGCAGGCAAAGGTCGACGAGATGGCGCTGGCCTTGCGCAACAAGATCAAAGAACAAACCAACTGTTCCGTCTCAGTCGGCATCGGCGCAAACATTCTGCAGGCCAAGATTGCTCTGAGGAAGGCAAAACCTGACGGACAGTTTCAACTGCGACCCGAGCAAGTCTTGGAAGTCATCGGCGAACTCAAGGTGGAAGAGTTGCCAGGAGTGGCGTACAGTATCGGTGGAAAACTGGAAGATTTGGGCGTCAAACTCGTCAAGGATCTCAGGGATATCTCCAAAGACCGCCTCGTTGCAGCCTTGGGTCCCAAGACCAGTGAGAAACTGCATGACTACGCCCGCGGAATCGATCGAACGGAAGTTGGAGAGCAGCCTCCCAGAAAGTCCGTGTCGGCAGAGGTCAACTGGGGGATCCGCTTCATCAGCCAAGCAGAAGCCGAAGAGTTTGTCTACAATCTCTGCAGAGAATTGGAGAAGCGTTTGGTGAATGAGCAAGTCAAGGGAAAGCACCTCACGGTGAAAATCATGAGGCGCTCTCTCGATGCCCCTCTTGACCCGACGAAACATCTGGGGCATGGAAAATGTGATACTTTCAACAAAAGCTCGGCCTTTGGTGTTGCGACACATGATTATCAGACCATTGGCAAGGAAGCAGTTTCCATACTGCGTTCGTTCAAATTCAGCCCCGGAGATCTTCGTGGAATTGGCGTCCAGATGACAAAGTTGGAGCCCATCAAGCTGAATCCCCTCGCCGTAGACGGCAGCCAGAGGAGGATAGCATTTGCTCCATATGTCGGGCAACAGCCTCGGAAGCAGCAGTCGAGGGCGGATCTGGCTGCCATTGTTGAAGAGTCAGGCAACGAGAAGAATGCAGGGATGGATGGGTCAGAACTTAAAGCTCGAAGCGATGAGCCTGTCACACCTCAGAAAGCCAAGCCAGCACAAGACTTCAGTGCACCTGATTCAGGTGGTTCGAGAAATGCAAATACTCCACGCAAGGTCTCAGGCACCCATTTCTTGCTACCGAGCAGCCCTGATTCTGCGGTCTTGGCTGAGCTACCTCAAGACATTCGTGCCAGGCTTATGGTCCAGCGTTCCAAGGGAGATGCCTCCGAGCCTCAGAGGAAGGCTCCTAAGTCAAGATCGCAGAGTCCCATAGGAGCGGACTTACTGTCCTCCCAGGTCGATTTGGAGGTGTTCAATGCCCTACCAGATGATATGAAAGCTGAGGTGCTGGCGCTTTACGGACGAAAGCCGGCAGCGCCGCTACCACAACCCTCGCCTCGAAAACCCGAAACGACCCGATCCAGGAGGCCAGCAACTCCAACGAAACCCAGCGCGGCCCGTGGGCTTTTTGGCAAATTGTCTCGCCAGCGAGATGCTCAAGCGGGAGTTATTCAGACCAACTTTCGGAGGCCAACGTCCGCAGCGGGTCAGCCCGAAGGGGTTGAAGAATTGGATCCTGATTTTCTAGCAGAGCTCCCAGAAGATGTCAGAAAAGAAGTAATTGCCGATCACAGACGGCGGGTGCTTGCAATGCAGTCAGGATTAGAGGCGCCAGTTACGAGAAGCCATCAAGAAAGGAATGTGCTTCCCGGGGGACAAAAGACGATTGAGTTCCCCATGCTGCCGCCGGTTATCGCCTTTTCTGGATCTGTCACTTCTGCCTCGGAGATCAAGGACATGATTGATGCGTGGCATGCGCAGACCAGAAAGGCCGGGCCACATAAGAGAGATGTCGATGTTTTGGAAAGATACTTGGTCAAAGTGATCAAAGAGGAACGAGATCTGAATAAGGCCGTTATGTTGGCCAAGTGGCTGGATGTTGTGGTTGGTCAGGACGGTGTCGATAGCAGAGGCAGTCGAGCTTGGAAACTGGCTGTAAATGGCATCAAGGCGGCGATGCAGTCTGCTGTAGAAGAAAGGGGCTTGGCGCCCTTGCAGATCTAGTAGCTGTATATATCTCAAGAGGGGATTGCATATTAGGAGACGACGATGAATGGACCATGTAGACCCTATTAGTGTATATCAACATGTATATAATCTCCCTCTTATATGCATGATCATCTATGAAACAAACCCATATGATACACTGTGTCCGTTCGTTTCTATGCAAAAGTAGCTCCCATTTACACACTCACAAAACGTCTAATAGACAGGCATTATCATCATGGCATTACCACATCATCATCATCATCACCAGCCCGGAGATCGCTAGACAAAACACGCTCGAAGCAGACACTCGACTCGCAAAAGAAGCGCGATAGACGGACAGTTTCAAGGAACCACCACATGCGGTGGTGTTGTCGCCCTCGCAGGGATAGTTGCACGCCGTATCGTCGAGCTTCTCAGCTATTCCAGACAATGTCTGGGCACACCAGCATTCTCTAGAACAGCCATCAGCACGTCCATAACTATCCCCCACTGAAAAAAACAAAAGGTCGACTGAGAAACATTACCTTGACCACTCCAGCCCAGCATACCGATACTCGGTGCTTCCATTGCCGCAAAAGGCAAGGCATTTCGGCACCGTCATCTCGCCTGGCAGACTCTCATCGATGCCGCCGCCCAACGCGCGCGTCTCGGCCGACCCCGGGACTTGGGTCGTTTCGTTGAAGCATCCGTAGTAGATGTACTTGTCGGAGTCGTCGTATATCGAGACGGTGGCATCGGCAGCGCTGATGAGCGGGATGAAGAGTAGGAGAAGCAGCTGCAGTAGGAGGGTCATTTGGATGGTTTGGTGCTGCTCGTGGTGTGTGTATTATCGGGATTATGTTTTTGGGGTGGCGTGTTTTATCGCAGGAAGCAACAACGCGGTATACGAGATTGAAGCTGTGTTCTTAAAGCACAAAAGCGCTTGATGGTGAAGAAACACGCAGGACGGCAACTGAACGCTAACAGAGTGATCAAGCTGGACAACGGGAAACGAGAGTCCGGAAGGGGCTGAAGGGGACAAACAAAGGCGTAAAAGCAGAACAAAGAGAAAAAGTATTTGAAAGGGCAAAGAATTGCTGGCATGCAGCTGAAAGGCAGCCCTGCTTGCAGCAGCTGGTGCCTGTAAGCTGCAGCGATAACGAACCTTCCCAAGCTGCGGGTATCTGATACGATGATGGAGGGGCTAATGCCGCCATACATCTAGAGTACCGCGACTTCCAATCCGTTAGCGGCGCAAAGGCAAGCGTTGCTTTTCTGCTGGTACCATCTGGGGGAGCTAACCCGCGAAAGTACTGGTACCTCGCCAATGCTGGTCCCTCCGCAAATTTAGACTCTCCAGCTCCCCCACGCACTGCAAGTTGGTTCAATTGACGGACACGATAACCTCTTCTGTCCTTTTTTCCTCTTCTTCTCCCCCATTGTTCCACGCATCACATGGTTGCAACGAGCGCTGCGCAACGGCTTCTGTGACTTTCCGACGACCGTCTCTTGCAATCGTCCTCATACTCTGCTCATACCTACCAGGACCGAACAGCGCTTCTTCTTCTCGCGCACAAGCTACCATGAGCTCATCCTCCTACATTGATTGGTCCAAGACCACCAAGTCCAAGGACTACCGCGGATCGACGTCCTTTGCGACTTTCCTCATCATCGGACGTATGATGCCCTGTCAATATTCTTTTTGCCTGCGCCTCGCTTCGCCGTAGCTGAGCGAGGACGGCCATTGTGTGCCAATGTGCTAATACTGGGCTCCAGCGACATGCTTCTTCCTGGGCATCCTCTTCGCGTCGTTCCCGTACGACTTCCCCCTCCTGTGGACGAAAGAACCCGTCGCCGCCGACTACTACGACCAGCTCGAGACGCACCTCAAGTTCGTTCACCAGTCGCCGCCGCTCATCGGCCGTCTCCTCAACATCATCATGAGCGTGGGCTTCCTCGGCCTCTTCATCAAGCTCTTCCGCCCCAGCGAGGCCAACTTCCTATTTGACGGCGCCTCGCTGATCCTGTACCTCATCGGCGTGGCCGTCTACGTCTCCAACATTGTCAAGGGCCTGCGCACCGTCAGCTCCGGCTTCTGGCACTCGGAGGAGTTTGCCGCGTCCAAGGGCCGGTTCGACGGCGAGATTGTCCTCGGCAGGGAGGACAGCCTCAAGGTGCTGGCGGCGAGCAACACGATTCTGGCGCTGGTCTTGGTGGGAATCCTGGTGTTGCAGGCAGGGCAGTGGTATGCCGAGAAGAGGGACTATGACGACGAGAAGGAGGTGGCGAAGAAGGAGGCTAAGAAGAAGCAGTGATGGGATGGAGGACTGTGTGATACTGGGACGGTGTTTGGCCGTACGGACGGCGAGATGTCTTGGGCATGGTGTTATGTATCACGACGATGTGGTGTATTTGTAGCATCGGGTTTACCGGATCTCCGCGAGGTTGGATAGTATAAATCGCTCGTATGGCCGAAGGATGCCTTGATGGCGGGCCGTTATATGTAGTAGTAGTAATATCACACTAGAGACAAGATTAGAAGCTTTGAGGGGTGATGAACTCCTGTCTTGTGTATACGATCCCTCTGGCGGTCTGTCTGCATTTCCGTTGAGTAAGACAACACCAAGCGAGAATGACCCTTCCTAATCTCTCAAAGTTGAGAGCACTATGTGGGCGTGAGACTCCAACTTGCTCCATGGAAGAAATGAAGATCAACAGGGTTCCTCAGCCCTTCTTGTTTGGTACATATAGAGCTACCGTACGTTGAGAGTCAGGCACTCATTCTACTGACGTACTACTGTGGAGGGCAATACGAATTGTCCCATCTTGGCGAGTGGATATGGCTTCACACATCTTGGCCGCGAAAAATTATCTGATCATCTGATAACAATTCTGCATCGTCACCATGCGGGTCCAGATGAGACGCTAGCCAGGTCCTAGACATGAGGGCCTGCATGGGACTCCGTAGACTAAAACCACTTCATACCCGGTTTATTGAACTTGTCAGGTTTTTGCAAAGGGAAATCCCCTCTCTTCTGAAAGCTCAACTCATTCGTTTTGTAAGAAGTATTACATGATGAATTCTGGATTCGGCGTGATGTCGATGTGGAATGAAGGTTTGGGAGGAGCACACGATTTGCCTGTGTAAGTGGGCGTAGTGCTGTCGTGAATGCTCTTGTCCTGATCCAGCGAGCCTGGTAATTGGTTGAAGCTTTCGACTGAAAGCTGGTAGGCTGAAATGAAGATATGGTCATGAAGAGAGTGGATGAGTGAAGACTCCCAGCTTGAGGTTTCCACAAAAGTAACGAAGCCGCCATGGACGCTAATACAAAAGACTGGGCTTGGTGATGATGGAAGCCCCTTGAAGGTGGACAGCAACAGCGAGGGCAATTCATCCGATACAAGCTCAACACACAAAAGTGTGCTACCTGGCTGCCTCTCGGCACCATGCAGCTGAGCGGTTTTTCGGTCCTACCTACAGTAGTATGAATACCATGAATAAGGAGGGGGCCTATTCTGGCATTTTGCCGAAGGAACGTGGATCCGGAGGTGTACGATCATCTTGCAAATGTGACAAAGTACTAACAAACCTCCTGGTTGTTCAAGACAATAGTCCCAAGGTAAGGTACAGGCTGTAGAGGAGCATTATACAAGCCTGACGCTGCCCAACCGTGCTTTGTGAAGTGGAGTATGATGTTTCTGACTTCATGGAGTTTATATACATGGCCATGTGTTATTTCAGTCCCCCAAAATGCCTATAAAGTTCCATCAAGATCTGGGTGACGATGAGTCATTAACGAGCCATGATCCCAAGAACAACTAAGTATGAAGCTCTTTTGAGGCTCCCATACTGCACGGCCCAGGTTCTCACCCAAGTAGTACTACTACACCTGTACCTGCACCTACAGGCAGCACATGCAAGTGCCGGGGTGTGAAAGCCTGAACCGATCCCGGCAGGTACACGAATCAGAGCAGCCAATCGCAACCAAGTGCGGGCCCCTCGCAGCCTATCGATAAGCCGCGATAAGATCGAAATTTTACAGTCACGCCTCTTTTGGGAGTCGGGACGAAAAGTTGGCTGCGAAGCTCGAGACCGAGACACTCAACGGCGAGATAGTATATGTCACTTTTCCCTCTCCTTGCAGCTGAGCCACGCCTTCACAATGTAGTAGCAACCCGAGCCCTTGTCCTCTTTTCTTCTCCCCTAATCATCTCCTACTCCTGAAGCTCCGCCGCCGCCGCTGCTGCGAGCAAACAAAGAGAAGAAAAAATCCCGCGACTGCTCTAGAACTGGGACACACTCCGCCTGCGTCGCCTTTGTGTCACTTTCTCTTGCGCAATCCTTGCATCTTCTGCATCCCTACCACAAGTACAACTACTAGGGCGAAGTCGGTGTGGGCTCTTTCCCGCATTATTGCGAGCTCGAAACAGGTCCCCCACAGCGGAATCCGGTCGCTGCTCAAATTTAAAGCTTTTTGATCGTCCTCGTTTTGCGCCGCCGCCGCCATCGCCCCAAACCTCCATCTTCACCTTCTCGCCATCTATAGGGACAACTCGCCCCTTTCCGCAGTCTTCTCTGCCGCCCGTTTGTCTTGCTCGCCGTATTCTTTCATACCTGCTTTCAACCCCCGCTCCCGCAGGAGAGGGGGCAAAGCTAGGGACTGAAAGAAGTGCGCTGAGGGAAAGAAGTTCGACGACGAGAGCCCTTTTCTGCTGTTTGGCTGTTTCCTCTCGAGCGCGCTACCACCCAATCCCACGGAATGGCTCAGGCCGCTCTTGACATGACCACCTCGGTTGCCGCCCAGCCTGAGTTGGCATTCCGAGGCAAAAGCCGAACGGCCACTATGGATGCCGTGGAAGATGTCATCTACGGATCGGTAAGTCCTATCAAGGGGTTGGCGACGTTGATATGCGGAGGGCATTCGCTGATTGGGGTGAAACATAGGTCGCCGGTATTGCGGGCAAGTACATCGAATATCCCTTCGACACCGTCAAAGTCCGACTCCAGAGCCAGCCCGACCACCTGCCGCTGAGGTACACTGGCCCCTTGGACTGCTTCCGACAATCTATAAAATCCGACGGCCTGCGTGGTCTATACAGAGGAATCAGCGCTCCCTTGTTTGGCGCTGCTGCAGAAACTAGCAGCCTCTTTCTGTTTGAGAGCGTGGGGCGAGAGCTTCTCTACCAGATCAAGTTGGCTCCTCGGGACAATGAGCTGACGTTGCCCTTGCTGTGGCTGACTGGTGCCATATCTGGTGTCTTCACGTCCTTTGTCCTCACGCCGATTGAGCTTGTCAAGTGCAGGATCCAAGCGCCAGCCCTGTCTGAGGGGGCACAAGTTGCCCAACTACGGCCTCTAGCTGTAATCCGCGAGGTATATCGGCACGAGGGCATCAGAGGCTTCTGGCATGGCCAGCTCGGCACGCTGATCAGGGAGGCCGGTGGCTGCTCAGCCTGGTTCGGAGCCAAGGAGACGGTCACAAAGGCATTCTACAGCTTGAGGCTGCGATCTGCTACCTCTGAGGCGGAACAAGAGGCGATCCGGTCGAAGCCACTTCCTCTCTGGCAGCAGGCCATTGCCGGCGCCTCAGGAGGCGTTTCCTACAACTTCTTGTTCTTCCCTGCCGACACCATCAAGTCTCGCATGCAAACGTCGCCCGTGGGTGGCGCCCACCAGCGCCGAGACTTCTGGAGCGAGGGCATGGCCATTTGGAGGCACCATGGCCTGCGAGGGCTGTATCGTGGGTGTGGCATTACCTGTGCTAGGGCGGCGCCCAGCTCTGCGTTCATCTTCATGGTCTATGACGGGCTGAAGCGACACGTTCCTATGCAATAGTCCTGCATGGATTTTCGGCAGTGAATCTTTCTGCTACTCTTCGTCTAATTTCTCTTATACCTTTTCTGAGGCATTTATATGGCGAGACCATTCATTTACGGCGGCTTACCGAGTTTACACGGCGTCGCTGCAGCGTTTCTATGTATTTTCCTTTCGACGTCTTCGATTTTCGCGCAAAAGGCTGGATGTCTGGCATTAAAAAAGGGGGTTTTGGGTCATACATGGACAAGGAGTCGTGATAGATATTTATGAACAATTGATCTAGCGATAGATGATTTGAATATCGCATATTTGCAATGATACTTCAAACAAGATCTCATAGATATGATATTGTGGCATAGTAATTGAGGGAGCCGTGAGCAACACGCACCAGCCTGTTAGTTTTGCTGCTGCTTCTCATCCTCCCTAGCATTCTCCTTATCTTGCAGATTCCAACCATTCAAATAGCCTGCTCCTGCGCTCAAATACGTCGCAAAGCCCAGCCATGCCAGATACGGTGCCTGGCACCAGGCGGCAACAGAGTCGACGGACCCCCAGAGATACGCCAGGTATCCGTTGAGGCCCAGCAGGGCGACGATGTCAGCCGTGGCCTCAACGGGACGCTTTGCGACGAAGAAGAGGGGCATCCAGATGAGGTTAAGTCCGAGCTGGATGGAGTAGACGGTCATGCTGTGCCTGGTCGTTCGGATGGTTTGAGGGGAGGACAAGGGAGAGAGTCCGTTGAAAGTGGCGCGGTAGGCGGCGTAGCCCATGAGGCTTTGGGCATGGGCGTCAGCTGAATCATCACATGATGTTTCAAGTTGAGGGTTGTGAGTATGCATCACGGAGGTTTCGAGGGAGAAGGTGTGTTACCCATAGAGGACTGTCCAGACGGGTCCGAAGACCCATGGCGGAGGGTGTAGAGGAGGTTGCTTCAGAGCAAGATATGTCTTTTGCGTTTTGGAAGCTGCAGTCAGGTCCCAACATTAGATTTAAATGTCAGCTCAAACTCTGATATTACTATCGCAGGTGGTATATTCGTCAACGAAGGGCCCAGCTTACGTCGAGTCCCAAAGCCAACGGCTGTGCCCAATGTTATGGGCAGAAGAATCGAAGAGGCTGGATTCAGGAACACGGCCGACGGGACTGTGATGGCAGGAATGTAAGTAGTCATCTTTGATTCTTACGAGATTCTGTTCGAATTAGAGGTTGGGTGAGGTATTATCCAGGGAGAGGTTGGTGATGGATGGAATTGAAGAGGGTTTGGAGGTCTTGATGTATGAGTTCGTCACTTGTATGACGCAATGTCCCGATTGGCTGGCTCGGACCCGAGGGAGGGGATCGGGAATCTGAGGGAGATGGAGCGCTAACAGATTGAGCTTGGGCTGCGCCGAGCCAAAGAAGCGCACGTTGACACGGTTGTTCAGTATCAATCAATCCAATTGCAGTGAAACAAAATCGAAGAAGGACATGATGCAGCGATAAGAGCTGTTTTTGTCGCTTCACCTGCATACAACGACTTGTAACTAACACGCATTCTGCACGTAATCTAGCTGCGCAAACTATCCATTCGAATCCCCCGACTTTACAGATAGCCTTGCCCAAAAACGCGTGCCGCCTGTAGGGCATGCAGCCAACCCCTCTGTAACCGCTAAATGCTAGTGGCTAGAGAGCGCTGCACGGCCCGCCTCTAGGTGTCGAAACTGGAAGAGCTCCCAGCTGGGAAATCTCGCGTCCGCGGTGCTGAAACGCTAAACGCGGTCTATAAACGCGCATCAACGCGCCAAGCTGCCTCGCGGCTGCCACACCAGAAAATGACACCCTGGTTCACACGCCAAAATCGCCCTTTTTTCTCTTCGTTCCTTCCAGACATGGGGCAACGGCTTTTCCTTCCCTCATAATCCATGTGCACCTGCATTTTCCTTCCTAACCTGTATCTACAACCTGCAACTGCACCTGCACTCTGCCTTCATCACCATATTCCGGGAAAGCATCAAGGGATCTTCTTTCCACTTATCTCGGTTTCACAAGTATTGGAAGGCGCACCTTGGAAGTTCTCTGGCTTTTCTGGTTGCCTTTGATTGTCAGGTGCAATGGCTGGTTCCGAAGTGAGGAAGAGGACGCGAAGTGCTGTGGATGCTGGTAAGTCCTACCGAGCAGCCTTGCTTCTTCATCTCGCCTTGTCGAACTTGTCATCCTAACATGCACCTCTCTCACAGCCATAGACTCGCCCACTCCCAGCAAACGACTTCGTCGATGCCGGCTGGTGGACATTTCATACAATGACGAGAACCAGGATCCCAGTTATGATGACGCCGAACACGACGATATTGCTGAGGACGAGGAGCAGGTTGAAGACGTGCTGAAGGAGCTGTCGTCACGGAGGCATAGGCGAATCCAGTCTCAGACCCCATCAAAACCCAACCCCGTCACGCCCTCAACGCCTCGGCATCGCGATGCATTCGGCTCTTACCCTAGCACTCCGCGGCATGCCGTCATGTCGGCGGGCAAGCTCTTCAAGCGAGCGACACCCCAGACGCCTCTCACGCCAACCAACATCCAGACCATCTACCACCGAGCCCGACAGCTGTTCGCCAGAGGAGCCGAACCCGGTCAGCTGGTGGGAAGGGAAGCCGAGCGCGAGCAGTTGACGGCATTCCTGGACCGCGTTTCGACATCGTCTCCCGGGGGCTGCCTCTACATCAGCGGCCCGCCAGGCACCGGAAAGAGCGCCATGATCACCAGCTTGACGAAGAAGTTTTCCGAGGTGGATGGGGTTCGCAGCGCCTACGTCAACTGCATGAGCATCAAGTCCTCAAAGGACCTCTATCACACTCTGCTGGCCGCTCTGGGCGAAGATGGCAGCGATCTATCTGAAGCGGAAGCCATCTCCGCTCTGCACAAGATGTTCTCTTCCAAGGCCAAGTCGGCCACCAAGTATCTCGTCACGCTGGATGAGGTTGACCACATTCTTACATTGGATCTGGAGAGCCTTTATCGAGTATTCGAATGGTCTCTGGCAAAGTCATCAAAGCTTTTGCTTCTCGGTATTGCCAACGCTCTGGATCTCACCGACCGGTTTCTGCCACGGCTCAAGTCGAAGAATCTGAAGCCGGAGCTGCTTCCCTTCCTGCCTTACACTGCGGCTCAAGTCAAGAACATCATTATCACACGGCTGAAATCACTGATGCCTGAAGGCAAGGAGGCATTTGTTCCCTTTATCCACCCCGCCGCCATTGAGCTCTGTTCGCGGAAGGTTTCAAGCCAGACGGGAGATTTACGCAAGGCGTTTGAGATATGCCGTCGGGCTCTGGACCTCGTCGAAGCCGAGACCAGGTCAAAGCACGAGGAGGCAGCACGAGAGAAGATTCTGCAGCTTACGCCTACGAAGAAGCCCCTTGGAGAAAGTATCAACGGCAACAACGCGACCGGCGGTGCTCCTCGAAGTGTCTACCAAATCACGACCGCATCACTCAAGGCTTTGACTGCGGAGACGGCTCCGCGAGCCTCGATTGGCCACCTGAACAAGGTCACAGCTGCCGCCTTCAGCAATGGAACCACCCAGCGTCTCAAGGCTCTCAACCTACAGCAGAAGGCTGCCTTGTGCTCGTTGGTGGCCTACGAGAATCACATTCGGACAATGGCCAAGGCGCCTGGCGCGGCTCTCACCCCTAGCAAGACGCAGACGCTGGCACCCACGGTCAAGGTCCTTTTCGACAAGTATTGCAAGCTTTGTCTTCAGGACTCGGTACTTCATCCTCTGTCCAGCTCCGAGTTCCGCGAGGTGGTGGGTAGCCTCGAGACCCTTGGTCTTGTCAATGCTGTGGAAGGAAAGGCGGGCAGCTTCATGATGCCGCAAACGCCCAGCAAAAGAGGTCGAAAGGTGGCGGCTGCCAGCGGCGACGAGAAGCGAATTGCCAGCTGCGTGGGAGACAAGGAGATGGAGTCGATTGCCGAGGGTGTCGGTGCTGATATCCTAAGGAGCATCCTGTCAGGCGAGGCGTTGGAGTAAGAATCATGTTGAGAGAGAAAAAGAAAGAAGAAGCATGGTGTACGAAGCATATTTTGTTTGATCGGCATTGTTATTGGCGCACATGGGATTTGGGATTGCGGCGATTGACAGCATGCATTGGCGTTTGGGATCGGCTTTGGATTTTGTTTGAGCTTGAGCATTGAGCACAACTTGCTCTCAAGCTTATTGTAATGTTGCAAAAGGTGCGAGCATAGCATGATGAAACCGCGAAGTTGTACATGGCATTTATAGATAGACGAGAGACGACTTTGGTGAAGATGAAATAAAAGGACGACAGTCCATTGTATGTTGAGCGAATTGGCTATTAGGATTGGATTGGATTATCTTGATGAGTAGCTGCGTGTAAGATTGTGATATTGACTCCGTGATTGCCACCCTGCTTGTCTACAGTCGAGCAGTCGTTCTTCTGTTGGCTTAATCCCTGTCGGATTTGGATGGAATCGACAGCATGCACATGGCCACACAAGTAAGATGTCGTATTCCCCCGATAATAATACTAGGTAGGTCCTTGCTTCGTGTCGGTGCTTCCCCGGCGAACCTTTTTGTTTCGTTGGACGATGGAGAATCAGTGGCCGAACAGGTTCCTGAAGACAGCAATGACAGGGGGGTCACCAGTTGGGGGAAGTGAGAGAGCGGGAATCGAAAGGGTCTAGACTTGCTCTCTGTGTGGCCAGAGCTGTCATCGTGGTATTACGGCGTTTTTGGGAGAGTGTGTAATGCCGCGGGAGATTGTGCGGGTTGGAGAAAAAGGTTGTTGGTGAGCGCGGGAATAGATGAAGTCCGTGACTGGGTCGGATTGACCGGGAGGCGGATGGGCGCATCTACGTAGGTAGGAAGAAGAAGCAAACGTACGGTGTAGTATATGCATTCGTTCTTCTGGTATGGGGAGATGGGCACGTCACTGTTGGTAGTGCTGGAGGAGGTTGTAAGGCTGTGATATAACTACCTTGACTGCCTTACTACCGTATGAAACGGCGGCTCAACCAAGCTTTTGGCTTGGCTCTTCTTCAAGTGCCGGTACTTGGAAACAAGACGATCCCTCTCCGAAGCACCCGAGGGGCACGGGGAAGGGGGAAAAGAAGGGGTGGTGGTGCGGGACCTATTGTTTGGATATGGATGGCCTAAGCTCTTGAAGGGGAGGGGGGCTGAGAAGAGTAGTAGTAGTAGTAGTATTAGCACTATTACTATCGCGTTAGGAGAGAGCGCGAATAAGAAACGAAACACGATCGAGACGACAGAACCATGATGGAGATTCGAGGGACAGCGTGTTAGGAAAAAGGTCCCTGAAAAATAGTCGATGCATTGATGAGGTGGTCTTGTTGGTGGATCCAGGGCGGGTAAGCTCAGGTGGGTGGTGGCCTAGAGCAGGGCGGAGGAGGGGGGGATTTGAGGGGGGTCCAGGGGGGGAGAATGATCCATTTGCTGGATCTGCTTCATGATTTGGGGGACTTGGCTGATTTTGGATTGATTCGATGATGCTGGATGTTGACTTGCTTGCCTTGGCCAAGTTCCTGCAGTGGTCCCAGGGAAAGGTCAGAGAAAGCAAAACAAACGGCCTCGGATTGGGTTGCTGCTGTTGGCCGCCTCGTCGTAACTGCAACTGCAGCTGCAATTTGGCCAAGGCGGGAGATGCGCGCCAACCAGAAGAGCCAGGATATGATAGGGAGGCAGGTATAGTAGTGTGTAGTATAGGGTGCAGATGAATTGATGCTGGCTGGCTGGCTGGCGCTGTGCCCGCGCTTCTGATCAACCTTGTTCAATTATCTGTGACTTGCAATCTGGATCTGTGCCGCAGATGTAACCCGATTCGCGTCCGCAGCTGATGGAAAGAATCTCCTGGAGGGGTGTTGCCGTTGTTGTTTCTTCCCAGGTCATTGCGATTGTCTTTCTTTGCTCTCAACGCTTTCTCTCTCTTTCTCTTTGATGCTCTCAAAACCGTCATCTCGGGCCCGTCATCTCCAGGAATGTCCGGTGCTAGCCCTCGCAGCGACGCAACCCAGCGCGGCCTGCCGAACTTTGCCTCTTTCAACACCTTTGGCGCCCCCCCTCCACCGTGCCGGTCTGCCGCTCGCTGGAGCGAGGCTGCTGTGCAGGTTAAGATTAGGGACGTGATTGGGGGGGTGGTTTCTGTCCCAATTCCTTATGAACATTGACCATCTGCAGAACGAGACGAAAAGAGAAGAGTGGGAGCGAGAGACTGAGAGCGAAGACACAGAGAGCGAGAGAGTGAGAGTGTGAGAGAGGACGACGAGGAGAGGAACAAGTACGGTAGGGAGAGATAAATTCCACCGACGCCGAGTCTATTTTTTGTGGTTCTTCTCTATCATCGCATTCTGGCTCTGTCTCTTGAATCTCCAGATTACTACGTATTCATTGTCTTGTCTTGTCTTGTCCCATCGTACGGCTTCTTTCTTCTTTGGGCGCTGTCCTTGGATAACCGCTGCCGTTCTGGGGGGGCTTTCGAGCAGCGCTAACACCACGATCCGCGAATCCCACGAGTCTCACGAACGACCCCCCGAACTTGGCCTTTGTCTTGTGCCACGAACGAAGCAGAGCAGCGACGTCCTCGATCCAGCCTCAGCGTCCCTACGGCCGTAGCAGCGACCGGCGACTCCGTGAGCCCGCCTCGTCTCGCCCTCGCCCATGCCAGCATCTCGGGGCAGCGGCGGCGTGTCGACATCGTCGGCCTCGGCGTCCGTGTCGCTGCCATGGCTTCCCGGCGCCTCGACAGCAGCGGCAGCACCAGCTCCGACACCAGCACCAGAACCAGCACCAGAAGGAAGAGAGACAAGAGATAGCGCGCCGTCCTCGCCGTCCTCGCCAGCGCCGACCCCAGCTTCGCCGTCTCCGTCCCCTGCCGACGCCCAGCCGCGGCGCCCGTCCGTCGTCACCGCAGCATCCCCATCCGCAAGAAGAGCCTCCACGGCCGCTTCGACATCCTCCTCACCAACATCCGCCTCGACCTCTACGCCGACCCCCACGCTTCCTCCCGCCCCCAAGACCGCTCCCGCATCGACGTCCTCCTCCGCGTCCCTGTCGCGCCCCGGCCTGCTGGCGCGCCTGGGCAGCTCGCTCAACCTGCCGCTGCCGCTCCCCCTGCGCAACCGCAATCGCAGCGTGACCGACTTCCACATCCTCTGCGACGAGCCGCACCGGAAATACAGCGCCGGCGACCATGTCCACGGCACCGTCTTTCTCGTGGTCGTCAAGCCGGTGCGCATCACGCACCTCGTCGTCACCCTGCACGGCTTCGTGCGCGTGCTCAAGGATCCCGCAGGCGCCGCCAAGGTCCGCAACACCACCACGCTGCCGCAAGGGGGCAGCTCGTCGCGCCCGCAGTATCACGGCAATGGCTTCGCAAGCCTCTTCCAGGACGAGCAGGTGCTGAGCGGCGAGGGCAGGCTTGATCCCGGCAGATATGAGTTCGGCTTCGACTTGGTGTTCCCCGACAAGGGCCTGCCCAGTAGCATTGACGTGAGTTCCCGGCCGCATAGTGCGCGCTTGATGCCTTGGCATGTGTTTTCGAGGACAAATCGGAATCGTGAAGCGGCTGCCTGCTGACACGTTCGCTTTTCAAATCTAGTTCGAGCGCGGAACGATATCGTACATGGTCACGGCAACCCTCACGCGGCCGGTGTCTATGGCGGCGACGATGACGTGCGAGAGAAAGGTCATGCTGGCTGAGAGGATAGACGTCGGTCTCTTGCCTCCGCCACCACCGAGGACCATCTTCTTGGAACCTATATCCAAGAGGACAAAGAGGAAGAAGTCGTCAATGGCGTTGGACAAAAGCTCTCTTGCTACGCCAGAGCCCGTCGATGTCACTGCCCCCGAGCCCGAGACAAGGGAGTCGTTTCCGACCCCAACCGCTACGGAGGATGCCTCTGCTCGTGCGAACTCTGCTGGCGAACACCAAAGCGAACGAAGAGGGGCAGCAGCGCTGAGCGACGTGCAGAGCGAGATCAGCGGCGAGAGCGGACGCAGCATCAGCACCGCCATGAGTCGAAGCGACACGGCCCAGTTAACACAGGTGGGCACCACGGGCCTCACGACAGCGCAGCAGGCCGTCAACGACAAGACCATCACCGCCAGCATTGAGCTTCTCAGGGGCGGCTGCCTGCCAGGCGACGCCGTGTCGGTGCGCGTTACGGTGCAGCACATCAAGCAGGTCAAGAGCATGACTGGTGTCATCGTGACGCTTTTCCGCCAGGGCAAGATTGACTCCTCGCCGCCGTCGCAGCTGTTCAAGGACATGCTTACCAGGGAGGATGCTCGCCGATTGCAGAGGGAAGACATCTACCCTAGGTCGCGCACGGGGTTGGGTGGCCTGTCCCTCTCGTCCGCCGGCTCCATCAGCGTGTTCCGCAAGGACCTCGATCAGACAACGGCGCCGCTCATCATCGACCCGAACACCATGCAGGCGTCGGTCACGGTGCCGGTCAAGCTTCCCGACGACTCGTTTCCGACCATCAAGGGGGTTCCTGGAGATATGATCTCCTTCAAGTACCAGGTGGAAGTCATTGTCGACTTGGGCGGGAGACTGTCCGGTCACTTCCCATCACGGAAGACTTCAAGATTCGGCGGCACATTTAGCAGCAGCGCTACAGACCAGAGCATCAGCATGTTCTCCCAGAGGAGAGGGGCCCAGATAGACATCATGGACACGGCTCCTCTGAGAAGGCAAAAGGGCATTGTTTGCGTCACAATCGAGTCCATTGTCGGCACAGTGGACACCTCAGGGGCCCGGAGGCTCGTCAAGCTATCCTCATCATCAAAGACTCTCGACAACGGCGAGAGCGACGACGACATGGGTTTTCTCCCAACCCCCACCCGCTACGAAGACATCGACCGTCACAATCCTCACCCCCATGGCCCGCCACCACAGCAATACTTTCCTCCGCATACAAATCGTCGACGACCATCCTACTCCCCTCCTCGTCCTTCTCACCCGAGCTATATACAACCGAATCACCACGGCCTTGCGCCATCATACACACCACCTCCTCCTCAGCTACTCGACCAGAGCAATCTCTCCGAGAAAGATCGCATACGGCAAGCAGAACAAAGGCTGCTACCCAGCCGGCCGCCCGCCGGGCCATCCTCACCCGACGACGACGACATTTACGATGCCCAAGCCACACCTCGACCGCACTATGCGGGCAACTCAGGGGAAGAAGACAACCCCGGCCCATCGGCTCCAACAGAAGAAGAGCTCACAGCCGCCATCAGCCCGCTGGTAGACGCCAGGGAGGATAAACAGGAACTCGAACGCAGGCGGCTGATGCAGGAAGCCAGCGCGCCGCCCGAATTTCCCGAGGACATGGAGCGAAGTGGCGGCCCCGGTCGGGCTCCTCGGGAAGAGGACATGGCGGCCGATGCCGAACCGACTGCGCCCACGCTGGATGAAGAAGACGAGGACCATTCTCCGGGATATCGAGCCGATGCAGCACCATCCGGCAGTGCGCACACAAATGGGAGACGCCATCATGATGACGGGGAGCAATTGCCGGCGTATCAGCGATGAAAGGGGCAATATTCACGGTGCATACGGAGTACTACATCAAAATCAATGGGGTAAAAAAGGAGCAAATTGGACTTTTGTTTTCTTCTTGCACATGAATTCAATCCTCATGACGGATTTTTTTGCTTTCTTTTCTTCTTTTCTATGCACATGATTCACCCTTTCATGTCTCGCACTTAACTTTATAATATTTGTCCTTTCATTTGATGTCCGTATTATGTATGGGAACATGCATGACTGGCGTTGGGGTGCGAATTGGGACGGGATAGGGACAGGATGGACTGGAGGGATATACAATGAGTTGCGGCCGTGGCATCGGGTCATGCTCTTTCTTGGGGATTGATCTAGTAGTTTGCTTGATATAAGTAGGTATGTAATTGTATATTTGCTGATGGGCATTTGATTTCTGCCTCTGCGTCTTTTATCTTTATAGAGACTTGTTATCCAGTCGAGATGCGTGAAGAGGCCGACGTACGTACGTGTTGAACATACTAGTGAGCTCGACTTTCACCGGTCTGTACGATATTTCTTTTGCTTCCTCATTTATCTCTACTTGATGGAAGAGTTCCTCTTATATACTACAGATGTGAGTCGAGTACAAATACATATGCTACATCCCCATAGTAGGCCAGGTAGTTTAAATCATCCCACGTCTATACAAACACCTCCCAAACACCAACCTTTTCCCCCCCATATAGCAACAAAAGAAAGAAATCTCAGTGCTGCAGCACAACAGGCCTTCCCTCCTCCCAATTATCAAGACTCTCCTTGATATTGACCCAGTACCGCAACCGCACAGCCTCCCGCTTGGCAGCCTGCACGTCATCCTCCCGAAACGCCCGCTCGAGCACCTCCTCGCTCTGCCTGATGCGCTCGTCATTCGTCCTCCTCAGCGCCGCGAGGTCCTCCTCCCTCTCGGCGTCCGAGATCTCCTCGTGCGCCTCGAGGACGAGCGCCAGCAGGCTCGGGTCGTCGACCTGCATCGTCTCGTCCGTGGCGACGTCCACGCCCCGCAGGGAGAGCAGGTACTGCGCGCGCAGGAGCGGGTTGGAAAGCGTCTTGTAGGCTTCGTTGATGAGCGCCGAGGTCGCCTCCGCGCGGGCCTTGGCGGTAGTACCGGGGCCCTGCTGACCCCCGGAGGAGGAGGAAGCGTCGTGGTGGTGGTGGTGGTGGTGGTGGTGGTGCATGTCTGGGTGGTGGCGGGCCTGGAGGCGGAGGAATTCGCGGCGGAGGGCGCGCACGTCGATGGGGAAATGGCCGCGGGGGGGAGGCCCGAGGGGCAGCGTCTCGGGGAAGATGTCGTAGTGGTTCAATGGCGGTGACGATGACGGCTTTGCCGGCGCTGATTCTGTTGACGACGACGACGACGATGCTTCTTCTTCTTCTGTTGCTGTTGGTGATGATGACGTCTGCGAGGGCGCGGATGTCGCGGACGCCCCGGCCGCGCTGCTCGAGAAGAAGGAAGCGTTCCCGTACCCCACGTGGTGAGCCGCGACGATGCTATGCGACGCTCCCCTCGGACTCGGCCTCGTCAGGGGCGACGTGACGACGGATGATCGCGATGCTGCTGCTGCTGCTGCTTGGAGGCGGCATCGTGCGCAGGGCCGGCACGCAACGTCCGCGAGGGCCCTGGCTGCGGAAGCTGTCGAGCGCATTTCGATTTCTATATGTGGTATGCTCGAGTATCGAAAGAAAAGACGTAAACAAAAGAAAATGATGTTTCCAGTTCTTTTGGCACCACAGCAGCCCTCTTTCGTTCTTGAACTGAAACCTGTATGTATGATGCTACGATAGAAGCTTTCTTCTCTCAAATAGATGAAAGCATAGAAACAATTTGCGCGGAGATATCCCGGCGGAAGCTATGAGGTCACCGAGGCTTCGTATCTACTTCTTTGCCGCGATAGGAAACGGTCGGCTAAAGGCGGGCTAAAAGCCGGCGGCGCCCTTTCCAGCTTCCAATCAAGACGCCGCCGTGGCCGCGCAACCTGCGTTTGGCTGTCTTTTGCTTGACTCACGTCAAAATATTTCGGCCTTGTTTGTCCCGTTCGGCCCAGCAAGGTCCCCGCGCCTTCGCTGCTGCTGCTTTTGTTCGCTATGCAAAGGGCCACCCCCGAAACCGGGCCCGATGGGATGCCGGAGCGGGTCGGCCGTTGGGCGGAGATATGCCGGACAATTGCTGAGTTCTGTGGAATCACTGGAATTACTCCAACAGGAAGTGATGAGATTCGTCTGATGGTGGCTTCGATTGCTTGATAGGTCCTCCAGCTCTGCAAAAGACAAACATGATACAAGGTCGAACTTGCAACGCTCACACCGCTCATGCCATGGAGCGACTCGGAGCATCAGATCAACCATCAATCAACTCATTCGTGCAGGATAACGATGTATGCACGCAGCCGCTCCCGTGCCCAAATGGAATGATAAGATCCTGAGCATTCAAACAGAAGTATTACCGACAGCGCCATGCTCATTGGTGGGAAGTTTGGGCTCGGTGAGGAGCAAACAGCTCCCTCTTCCCCACACAAGGCTAAAACCTCCCCCCTTGTTTGCGTGCAGTACTAGCAGTAGTAGCAGTAATAGCCGGCTGGGCGAGTTCGGCGAATGGTCCAATCGTTGAATTAAGAGACGACGTGCTGTCAGATTGCCGAAACTCATGTCACCTCCAATCCCTCCATAACACCGCGTAGTCGAGACATTGCGACGACAATCGACTACCAACACAATGGCCAAGGTATTCGATGCCGCCGAAGGTACGTCCTGCCGTCGCCCCGTTGAAGCTGCTCCCCCGCATAACTCACCCGAATGTCTGCAGTCGCAAAGCACAACACCGCCGACAGCTGCTGGGTCATCCTCTACGGCCATGTGTACGACGTGACCGACTTCCTCTCCTCGCACCCGGGCGGCGCAAAGGTGATTCTCCAGCTGGCCGGCAAGGATGCCACCGAGGAATTCGACCCCATCCACCCGTCCGGCACGCTGGACGAGCTCAAGCCCGAGGCCAAGCTGGGCAAGATTGATCCTGCCAGCATGATCGACACGCAGCCGGCGCCGGTCAAGAAAGATGGCGACGACAACACTCCCGCGCCTCTCGAGACGCTCCTCAACCTCGACGAGATAGAGGCCGAGGCCACCAAGCGCATCTCGAAAAAGGCGTGGGCCTACTACTACTCTGCCAGCGATGACATGATCACAAAGACTTTCAACACCACAGTGTTCCGAGACATCCTGCTACGGCCTCGCGTCTTTGTCGACTGCACGCAGTGCGACCTGTCGACAACCCTCCTCGGCCACAAGGTTGGCCTCCCCATATACGTCAGCCCGGCCGCCATGGCCAGGCTGGCCCACCCAGACGGCGAGCTTGGCATCGCCAGGGCAGCAGCCAAGTTCGGGGCCCTTCAGCTCATCTCCAACAACTCCTCAATGACACCAGAGGAAATCTCTTCCGAAGCAAAGCCGGGCCAGATCTTTGGGTGGCAGCTATACGTGCAGAACCGCCGCGAGCGGAGCGAAGAGATGCTGCGACGCATCAACAAGATGAAGGACAGATTCAAGCTCATCTGCCTGACGCTCGATGCCCCCGTGCCGGGCAAGCGCGAGATTGACGAGAAATCGAACATGGACAAAGGCTTCGTAGTCGAACCAGGGGTCAAGGGCGGCCAGGAGAAGCGGCCTGGGGGTGGCGGCGTGGGCCAGCAGCTCTTCTTTGGCACGGCCAGCGACTTGACATGGCAGACGACGCTGCCGTGGCTGACGAAGCACACAGACTTACCCATCGTACTCAAGGGCGTTCACACGTACGAAGACGCTTACCTTGCTGCCAAGTACGCGCCCCAGGTCAAGGCCATCATCCTCTCGAACCACGGCGGCAGAGCGCTGGACACAGCCTCACCCCCAGTTCATGTTCTGCTTGAAATCAGGAAGTATTGTCCCGAAGTTTTCGACAAGATCGAAGTTTGGATCGACGGCGGCATCAAGAGAGGCACCGATGTTGTTAAAGCTCTTTGTCTCGGTGCCAAAGCCGTGGGTATAGGCCGTGCGGCCCTGTTTGGCCTTGGAGCCGGAGGCGCTGCTGGCGTGGAGCGAACACTAGAAAGTGAGTTGATGCCCCGAATCCCAAAGGCAAGGCAATGTGTCTCCATCTCGGGTCCCGAGATGATGACCCTACCTTGATCGTCGTAGCGACGGCGGTGTGATGTCCTGGCGCGAACTGCCTAGGGAGTGAACCGTGTCATCACCGCCTCTGTCAATCTCTGTGCCTCTTTTCCTCCCCTACACGTCATATTTCACATCGGAAGGAGCAAGTATTTCTGACGATTCGGGTGATGTCGGCCCTCAATAGTTCTTGAAGCGGAGACGGCCACATGTATGAGACTCCTCGGAGTGAAGAACATACAGGAGCTCGGTCCAAGATTTGTAAGTCCCCATTCTTCGTCTTCTTCCCCGCGTCCCCCGGAGCGAATCCGGAGACTAGGGAAGAAAATGACGCCCCCGGAATCTCATCTTGGACTATCTCTGGTGCAATATAGCTGACTCTGGGGCCCCAGATCAACACGCGCCGTGTGGAGAGAGACATTTATGACGGACCTGCGGACCTGGGGCAGCCGGGGCTGTGGGCAAAGCCCAAGCTGTGATGCAGCTGCTGTCATATGCTTCCTCGGCTGCTCGTGATGGCTCACACAAACTGCAGGCGGGGGTTGGTGGGCTGGGGTGGGTAGCACACCCACTAGCGCTCTGCAGCTGCGAGCGATCAAAAGCTGGGGAAGACGGTGATGCTTAGTTCCAGTATTATCATTGAAGAGGCTCTGATAGGTTTGCCAAGGTTTCTGCTAGGCTAGAATAGACAGCAAGCAAGCGAGATGTACAGGCGAAAGAGCCTAGACCTGTAGACTCATTGACCGTTCCAGAAATAGATTCACAAGAGTGTCGTCCGGGTTGCCGAGTTGGAGCTACTATTCGCGTGACAAAGTGATGTTGACAGCAGATCAGCATGTCTGCCTGTACCCCATATCCCGGCGGAGTGGCCCAGGCTGTTCATAAGTTCTTCATCGGAGGTCGCGGTGATCTGGATCAGCAAGATGAGGAGACGGGCGCACGGCTCTTTTGGGAGCTGGTCAACCTTCACTGATACACATGCGTGATGATGCCGCGGGTTGAGTTGTACAAGCTTGTAGCTCGTACGCCAGGATCCCACCTGCTCCTGGGCATGGCCGTCCTGCGATTTGGCATGCTATTCTTCACAAGTTCGAATCCCAGAGCTTTGGCCTCACAAGCCGGAGTACCTCGTTTTGTATGACGAGAAACTCGTCACGGGCATGTGCCGCAGCTGAATCTGGCAACGGCCGTACAACGGTCTCCGTGTAAGCGCAGCATTGCAGCCCAGCTCAAAAATTGGATGCGTGAGCAAGAGTCAAGGGTGCCTCGGCTCAAAAAAATAGTATAGATTCAGGATTGCGACCATAACGTAATGTCTCTTGCGTCCGTTGGTGTTTCAATCCATAGGTATCCTGGTTGCTGGGCTGGTATCCTGCATGTCAGGCGCGTTTGTCTATGGCTCTTCGTATTTACATTGAAAGTGCTCTCGAAGCTTGCTTGCTGGCGCTAAGAAAGAGATGGCTGCCACGCCACCCCGCGAACTCATATGGAACGTAGGGGAACGTTTGCTCTTCGAACGGTGTTGTCCATTAATATCCGGGCTTCCGGAGTTGCCATGCGAGGATAGACGGACGGGTAGCTTGACAGCGAGGAAACCTGTCGTGTAGCAGCTGGTGCTATAGAATTAGGTTTGTCGTGGCAAAACCTCGAGGCACATGAGCCAGCCCTTCGATGGCAAGGAAGTCTGGAAAACGTCGACCGTCTGCGATTGGTTGAACGGCGACATTCAAGCCCACGACGCCGGGTCTACCGCCGCAGTTTGATGGTGTGGAGCCCACAGTCGTTATTAGTGGTAGGATGCAAGTCCTAAGCCCTTGGCTGCGGTATGGCTGTGTCGTAAGAATCTAAAAGTCACGGCCTCAACTCCTCTCCAATGCGATGACAAAGGCATCGTCCTCGCAAGCTGAGACTCGTCGCATCATGCCGAGAGGCGGGAAAGTTCACCAAACGCGCTTGTTTCGTTGCCTCACACACGGAACCTGGTGTCTTTTTGATTGGAGTTTCTTTCCTCCGACAGGAGTCTCATCAGAGGAAAGTGGAGGTCGTTTATTTCCGCTCTGCCAATCGTGTTCGCTAGCTGCCGTTGTCTCGAAGCGGCCGCCTGTCATTGCATGAATCGCCTCAGCCGGGGCCAGGCCAAGATCAGGTACTAATGGCCGGCAGACAAGGGACAGAACTTTCTGCTTGGTGTAACGGTGTCAAGCTGACGAGACGACGTTACCCCAATTCCGTACGGCCTGCAGGCGAACTGTATGATGCGTTTTCTCTTTCTCCAGCTGGGTGCTTCGTACGAAGTCCAGGGATGCCCCCAAACTCCGTTGGTTGCGAGTCTGTCCGTCAGTCTGGGTGCTTAGTCCAAGTGCTGCCGCCCTGAGATACCACGTACCAGGCAAGCCAGGCTCAGACGTACAGTACTACTAGTAGCAGTATCTGGAGTTACTCTCGTGTTTTCGAACTCGTAATATGTCGGTACGGAGATCTTCTGACAGCAGTATTAGTCCGTAGTGCAGTTTGAAAGATGATGAGATGCGGTGGCGTCTTCAAGTGCGGCCCGGTGGCTCGCCGGAACGGTTCCCAGTCAGGAAAGCATCTCCTGCAGGCTCTCTGAAGGTTGTGTGGGAAGCTGTGGATACTCTCTGGCATGGTTGCATGGAGAGCAGCCAGAGGAGGCCGGCCCTCGTCTTCTGGCGTAGATTGGCTGTGTTTCTCCAACTCGGCCCTTTCGCCTAGCTTGGCTCGGTCTGTTTGAGGCCCCTTTTCGCGGTTGCCACTGGGCATGTGGCAGAGTTGATTGAAAATGGGTAGACGAGCAGAAGAAGCCATTTCGAAGGCGCAGCGGTATCATTGACGATACTCGTTGGATAGGTGCAAAGTGCGGCTTGTCGCCGAGTCAAGCGGAGTCCACCAACCCAGCTTCGACGGGGCGAGAGGGTCGCGTGCAAGAAGACATTTACGTAGTATCTGAACGTCCCCATCCAATGGACTGTGATTGATTAGCCCACAGTTGACGAGATGCTCTGCGACTCGAGTCCAGGACGGCTTCTGGCCGCAGCTGTCAAGCAAAGGTTTGTCTCATAAGCTGAACTCTTCAAATGCTCAACTTGGCCCTTCTCCTTTGCATCCTCTTGCTAGCTGGGTGCGTCGACGTCGACTTTCACGTGTAACCCTCGATGCAAAAGAGATGCCGAGGGATCTTCGTGTTAGCGGCTTGTGTGAACACCATCCATGCAGCTGGAAATGCAGTTCTCGTCGTCTCTGGGGGCCATGCAGGCGTCAATCAGTCAAACAGAGGATGGCTGCAGAGGAGGCTGTTGGGAGGAGGATTTGGATGGGAGGATGGGAGAGTGGCGCACGTTGGTACCATCGTGCCACAACTAGCAGGGAAGGTACTTCTAACTTTCTCAAGGTCCTACCTACCTAGTCTACGTTCTTGCCTGTTTTATACTGTAATACGCCGCGGCGATTCATCCGAGCCCCGGACTGCAGCGCAAAGGTGCCGCATCCAGGAAGTACTTGTCGAGTACCAGCAGCTTAACTGTCACTCCCCTACAGCAGCGGTAGCCCGTCTGGTACGAGCTATTACCAATGTCGTCCTCGTACTTTGCAGCTGCTGATACTGGCTGCCCGTGGTACTGCGCATACCTTGTCTCTCACTGACCAGCGGTTCTATCCAGTGTCTTTTGCGGGGAGGCTCTGGCGACCAGGGCAGGAAAAGAGCAGCCTCGGGGGACTGCCCAACCGGGAATGGCGCGATACCTCCCCGCCGCGTCCTTCATGTACCGAGTCTAGCTGGCTGCAAATCGCTGCACGTTTGCAGGGGATGGTGGAGATTGGCGGCCGAGAGTGGCTTCGAGCTAGATGCAGATGAGCAGGGAAGAGGCCACAGGAAAAATCGGAGCCCGCGCGGAGCCCAGGGTTGGGCGACGGACGTTTTCGCTTCCCAGGAGGGCGACGCTTGGAGGGCACTTGGGGATATTAGCGGGAGGGCTCGAGGGTCGGACTAGCACCGAAACATGGAGGACAGCCAGCGAGCCTGGTGGTGTTGAGGCTGGAGGGCTGGAGATGGCTTCGATGATGCGTGATGGCGTCGACTAGAGCCGGAGGGGGACAGCAAAGAAGAGATGGAGGGGAGGGGCGCGAAGCATCACCGGACTCGATGCAAACAAGAAAAGACTGACAGCACGAACTTGTAGTCTAAGGTAGTAACTCGTAGCAGCAATTCCCACGACATCAGGTACATGGATAGAGCAGCCATCGCCAGCAGCTGCTGCCAACAGCGGCAAGTATGTACTAGCCGTCTACAGCACTGCTAGCAACTGGCCCATGACCCTCCCTGCCCGCCAATCTTGCCCCTGCCCGTCTTTTGTCGTCCCGCTGCTCCCATGTCGCGCTGAGGTTCCTTGTCCTGTGTTCGCTCAAGCAATTCGTACTTAAGCATCGCCATCTCCAGATTCGATCTCCTTGGCGCACCCCCGGCCCTGTTTTTTTCCTCCTCCCAACGTCTGTTCTGTGGAGGTTTCGCGAGCGCCTCCGATCCATCTGCCGGCCGCCGCCAACGCCATCGACGACACCAAGCAACGCCGGATAGGTTTATGAGGGCTCTGAAGAGTTTGTAATTGACCAAACTGTGTCCGGTTTCTGCAACGACTGGAACGAAAGATTTTTATTACGAGGGTCTTATATCTATCAACTTCGGAGGAAACGACCTCGAAGATTTCTCGTCCCCCCGTGGTTCTCGCTCTTCTTCCTCCACTCATAAGCACGAGCCAGTATACGGAGGACATAGTACCTACTATATATTACAGACACGCGCAAATTCTGCAGATTGGCAGAAAAGGCAGGCAAAATGTCTGACAAGCAGGAGAACGATGGCATCGATATCTCTCAGACCGAGAGCAGGACCTATCCGGCAGCCGCGCCCGCGACTACTCGAAAGCAATCGATTGCTCGTCACTTCAAGCGTTTCTGGTGGGCGTATCTGCTCGCACTCATCTGCATCGTTGTTCTCGTCGTCTGCTTAGTGTAAGTGTTGATCTTGAGAGGGCTGGAATTACCGGTTGTATCCATGTGAGAGTCCTACTGACGCCTCTTCGTCCAGCATCTTTGTTGGCGTTCCCAAGATTGCCCAGAGCAAGGTCAACGATTCCAAGCTGGAAGTCCAGGGCGTAAACGTCCTCAACACCAAGCCTGACAGCATCAAGCTGGAGATCAACTCTACCATCACCACCGATGGCTCCATCAGCGCAAAGATCGACCCCTTTGACGGCGTCATATATCTTGAGGATCTCCCCGATCACACTCCTTTCGTCAACATCTCCTTCCCCGCCACCAACGGCGACAAGCACCAGCAGGTCAACATCAGCCAGGAGGTCCAGATCCAGAACCCTGATGCTTTCAACACCTTCAACGTCTGGTTTGCCGCCAACAAGACCCTTCGCGTCACCATTGAGGGTCGAACCAAGGTGAAGCCGTCCGGCCTGTCCACCAAGTTTGGCGTTACCTTCAAGAAGACCATTACCATGAACGGCCTCAACCTGTTCGACGGTATCTCGGTCGACAACGCCAAGATCAACATGACTGCCAAAGAGGGCCAGCCAAACTTCACCGGCCTCTCCGATATCCCCAACGCCTCTTACTTCACTCTCGACATTGTAAGTCGACTCCATGCACGCACCGCTCGAGTATTTGCTCGCATAGTAGTCGTTCTTCATGCTGACATACATTTCTAGGGCAACGCTACCTTCACCAACTTCATTGACGGCACCGACATTGGCAACTTTACTATCCCCAACCTCCTCCTTGTCCCTGGCAGCAACAAGGTCCCCATTAGTGCTACACTTGACCAGCTCAAGGTCCTCGACATCGTTCGGAGTCCCAAGTACTGCAAGACCGGAATCGTCGACATCAAGCTCCGGGGCTCTGCCGTTCGCAATGACGGCGCGACGCTCCAGTACTTCCTCGACGCCCTCTCTGCCAACAACCAGACCCTTACCCTCGATATTGGTAGCATCATCAAGAAGTCTCTTGGCACCTCCGTCGGCTGCGCCAGCTCATAAAACATTGTTCAACTACAGTCATACCTGTCGACAAAATGCCTATGACAATATCTTTTCTTTACTCTTCTATCTCTTCATTTCGTCCGTGGATGGTGTCCGGTGAAGGAGGGATCTCTTGATTTTGAACTTCTGTTGGGTGTTGCCAAAAAAAAGCCCCCTTTTCTTCTTTCAGGGGGTTGATGTTCGCTATCGCGTGACTCGACGCAGAGGGGCAGATACCACTTCACTCAATGAGTGATCTTCTTTTGTCTTTAAAGAGAATGGTACCAACAGGAATATGTGTGATGAAGCCTCCGGTCGCAGTGCATTCTGACTCATGATACCTCCTTGTAGACGTCTGTATTTCGATAGTAAAGTGGCCATCTATGGCCGCGCAATTCATTAATGACTTGAGTCTTCGTCCCCTTCCGTGTCTGCCACCATTTCGTATCCTGATCGAGATGGTTTGCGTTGTTGCCATGTACTGTCTCGTACTCTTTTATTTCCAACCACCCTTGCGCTTCTCGCCCCTTGAACTTATCCCTCCTGACCAGGCGGCTGGTCCTCCGCCTGACGAAGAAGTTGATGGAACAAAGTCGACGGTTGTCCGACCGCCACTAGCTCTCTCCGATTCCTTCTCCTTTGCAATCTTCTCTCTAGTTTTGCTCAACTTGTCCCTAAATGCCCAGTCTGGAAACTCCCTAGGATCCCAGAGCTCCTTGGGTAGCGTCGTCTCATACTGGCCCGCATCGTCGATGCCGACAAAGTCCAGTAGCTTGTCCATTAATGACGGATTTTTCAGTGCCGCAGACTGTTCGAGTTTGGAGTTGAAGTGGACGCCTTTCTTCTTGAGTTGCAGAAACTGTTCGACTTTCTTGTTGGCTTCGAGGGGAGGAGAACCTGGCGGCGAAGGCGGGATATCAAGATTAGGCACGGAGGGGAGCGTGAGGTGGTGAATCAGCCCGCGGTTGGAGGAATAGGGGGACGAGGGTGCATCCGTGGGCTCATCGGGATCTGGAAGGGTGGTGACAGGCGCATCAACGGGTGGAAGAGATGGGCCTAGAGGTACTGCGTCGGGGAGGATGGGGCCAATAGTCGCTGGCTGTGGTGGGTTCTCGACGTCTTGTCTCGGTGAAGATGGTGCGTCTTCTGCTGGTTTATCTGCTATTTGACCCCCTTCCTTCTGAGCCTCATCAGCCTCGAGGGCTGCTGCCTGTGTGGCGACCTGCCAAGCGTGTTAGTGAAATGCAATCACAGACGAAGCCCAGAATGCTTCATACCTGAGGAGGTGCCTCTTGTGATTGAGGCTGTTCATCTTCTCCTTCCTCATCAGAGCTTGCATATGCCACAAGCCCAGCCATTGCGACACGGGGTTTATCGAGGTTCAGACGATGAGAAGGGGTGAATTAGGTAGTTCACTGAGCGAGTGAGTGAGAGTGAGCGCGACAAGCTGCTGAGGCCAGATGGGGATTAGCGCGGCAAAACCATGGCGCTCTGAAACCCGATCGGCTAAAGCTCGGCTGTATCGAAGCCTCGAGACGACTTTTCAGCCGCCCTCAATCCCAACGGCTCTTTTTCTGTGACAACAAACGGCCCCTCCGCCAAAACTTCCCCGGTGTCGTTTCCCATTTGGCATCGTCCAGCGTTCGCATCATCACTCGGAGATCCATTCATTGCCCTGCTTGCACTTCTGGCTCTGTGCGCTTGACTGCGGATAGAAGAATTGACCAGCTTCGGGGGGTGACGTGTAACCGATTCCCAGACAAACCAAGCTCATTCCGTTTCCTGGACCAGCCTCGATTTCGATTCCGCGTTTCTCAAAGGCACCGTCATCATCATCGCAACGACAAAAGAAGAAGAAAAAAAATAACTGCATCGGCTCCAAGCCCCTTAAAAAAAGTAGTTCTTACAGTAGTGTCTTGCTGAGCCTGCGAGACCACAACAATGGCTCGGCCAAGAGACTCGCGCTCACCAAGTCCTGCAGGCAGCCATTTCAACTCGCGCCGCCACCGCAAAGATGACGACCGGCGGGATGCCAGAGACCGCCGCGACGATGGAAGGGACGCTCGCCGCCGCTCAAGGTCGCGCAGCCCGGATGTGAGATTTGACCAACGCCCCTCCAGCTTCAGTAACTCCTATACGCCTGGATCAGTGTCTGACAGAAATATCAACTCCCAACAGTATCGATACCGCGACCGAGACCGAGGCAGAGACATGAGAGACCGTGGTGGCCGTGACCGCGATAGCTTCCGCCGACGAGACCGCTCCCTAGACCGCCGAGACGATGACTTCTACCGTGGAGGCCCACGTGATCGCCGAGGCCCGAGATCGAGAGAGAGGTATCCGCCCAGGCCTCGCTCGCCTGACCGACGCCGCGACCGCAGCCGAGACGATTTCAGGCGACGGGACGATTCCAGGAACAGAGGCCGACGTGAGGGTACGGCTGACTCTCAAGCTCGCAGCAGCCGCGCTGACAGCCGATCCCGCAAGACGCCGCTGACCGACAGTGGCAGAAATGGAGTTGACGAGGTATGTACTCCGACCTTGTTTGGGAGAACTAGAGCTCATGACATATCCCAGGCCCAAAAGGCGAAAGACGCGGCGCAATCCGAGGCCGATAAAAAGGCAGAGCGACTGGCGAAGCTCGAAGCATGGAAGAAGAAGAAGGAGCTCGAGGGCCTGAAACAAAAAGAGGTAAACGCCAGCCAGACAAGAAGTCTCCTCGCGGAGATGGACAAGAGGGCCAAAGAAGGATCGACAGCCGTCTCGTCGCCTGTTGTGTCGTCTGCAGCTTCGCCTACCCCTCTCGAGTCGGGCAGCGTCTCTCCAGCAAAGCCTTATACCGGCAAATTTGATCCGAAAACGATTGCAAAGAAGTCTGCCGTTCAAAGATCGAATGATCCTGCCAAAGGAGCACTGGGATCTATAGATGTCCAGCCGCCAAACATCCCTTTGCCCGTTAAGAAGGGACCTACTGGTAAGATCTTTCTACCCAAATTTGGATACCTGTCTTGTGCTGACAATCATCACATAGCTTCCGCACTACCGACGAACCGTGCGAAGACCAGCAGTTTCGGGTTCGGCAAATCTCAGGCGGATGGGGACAAACTTCCTAGCAAGCGGAAGCTCGACATGGACGAGGAAGTCGTAACCAAACGGCAGCTCACCAAGCTCCCCAGTCTTCCAGTGGAAACTGACGACACGCCTTATGCTGACCAAGATGAGGACGACGAATCGGACGGAGACAACTTTGCCGAAACCGAGGAGGAGGCCGCTGCGGCGGCTCGTGCTGCCCATGAGAGACGTCTCCAAGCTGAAAATGAAGTTGAGAATCAGACTGAGAACCCAGCTGAGAACCAGACTGAAAACCAAGCCGAAAACCAAGCCGAAAACCAGACAGGACACCCTGCTGATGAGGAGATGAAAGATGCTGAACCCCAAGTTGCAAAGGAAGCCAACGGCGAGCATGTCACCAACGGAGAAGAAACGGCCAAGGAGGCTCCTGCAGATGCCATGGATGTTGACGGAGAGGACGAGGACGTTGACCCTCTGGACGCATTCATGGATGGTCTTCAACAGACAGAGGCGGTGAAGAACCCTGACAAGAATACCTCTGTTGCGAAGAAGAAGCAGGAGCCCGAGGCTTATTTCTCTGACGATGATTATGCTTTCAATGACCAGGGCGATCAGGAAGCAGACGCTGCTCTGCTTGCAATCGCCAACAAGCGCAAGAAGAAGGATATTCCAACCGTCGACTATTCAAAGCTGGACCTGCAGCCCATTCGCAAGAATTTCTGGTTTGAGCCAGCGGAGTTGAGCAATCTTTCCGAAGCCGAGGTCGCAGACTTGCGATTGGAGCTAGATGGCATCAAGGTCAATGGCAAGGACGTCCCCAAGCCCGTCCAGAAATGGTCTCAATGCGGTCTCACCCGCCAAACCCTCGATGTGATAAGTTCTCTCGGGTTTGAGAAACCTACGCCAATTCAGATGCAAGCCCTTCCCGCGTTGATGTCTGGCCGGGACGTCGTCGGCGTGGCCAAGACCGGTTCCGGCAAGACCATGGCTTTCCTGCTTCCCATGTTCCGTCATATCAAGGACCAGCCGCCGCTCAAGGATACCGATGGCCCCATTGGACTGATCATGACGCCAACACGTGAGCTGGCCACCCAGATTCACAGAGATTGCAAGCCTTTCTTAAAGATGATGAACCTGCGTGCTGTTTGCGCGTATGGAGGAGCTCCCATCAGAGAGCAGATTGCCGAATTGAAGCGCGGTGCCGAGATCATTGTTTGCACCCCTGGTCGCATGATTGATCTTCTCGCCGCCAATCAGGGACGGGTCACCAACCTCAGAAGGGTCACATACGTGGTCCTTGACGAAGCTGACCGCATGTTTGACATGGGCTTCGAGCCTCAGGTGATGAAGATCTTCGCCAATATGCGGCCCGACCGGCAAACCATTCTGTTCTCAGCCACCATGCCACGGCTCATCGACTCACTCACGAAGAAGGTACTCAAGAGTCCCATCGAGATTACCGTCGGCGGCCGCAGCGTTGTTGCAAAGGAGATCACGCAAATCGTGGAAGTCAGGGAGGAGAATACAAAATTCCTCCGAGTGTTGGAGTTGCTGGGCGAGCTTTACGACAAAGACGAAGATGCCCGGACGTTGATCTTCGTCGAGCGGCAAGAGAAGGCTGACGACCTTTTGAAAGAGCTGATGCATAAGGGTTATCCTTGCATGTCCATTCATGGAGGCAAAGATCAAGTCGACCGCGACTCTACTATTTCGGACTTCAAGAAGGGTGTTGTGCCCATTCTGATTGCCACGTCAGTTGCTGCTCGTGGCTTGGATGTGAAACAACTCAAGCTCGTCATCAACTACGACGCGCCTAACCACTTGGAAGACTACGTTCACCGAGCCGGTCGAACGGGACGCGCAGGAAACACGGGAACAGCCGTTACCTTCGTCACCCCAGAACAGGAAAACTGTGCTCCTGGCATCGCTAAAGCCTTGGAGCAGAGCGATCAGCCCGTTCCCGAACGACTCAACGAGATGCGGAAAGCTCATCGCGAAAAGGTCAAGTCGGGCAAGGCAAAGGATTCGTCTGGATTTGGTGGCAAGGGTCTGGACCGTCTGGATGCAGAACGTGAAGCGGCCCGTCTTCGTGAGCGCAAGACGCATAGAGCCGAGGGTGAAGAAGAAGAAGTCAAGGAGGACGGGGCCAAGAAGGAGGAAGACGACAAGAAGGTGGACAAGACACTCAGCGCCATCAGGGCTGCGGCCTCTTCCATCCAAGCGCGCGAAACTGCACGCGCCGATGCAGGAGAAGGCAAGGCGGCTCAGCCTGCTCTCGGTACCGGTGACAAGGGCAAAGATCCTCTGGACAAGGTCAGCTCCGCGGTCAGTGCCATCAACAGCCGTCTCGGCAAGGCCGGCCAGCTTCGCTCCGGCCAACCCATCGACAACAAGGGTCCGGATGCCGGCGCTTTCCACGCCACGCTGGAGATCAACGACTTCCCTCAGAAGGCCAGATGGGCCGTCACCAACCGCACCAACGTGGCCAAGATTCTCGAGGCGACCGGAACCTCCATCACCACCAAGGGCAGCTTCTACCCCCCTGGGAAAGAAGTACCGCCTGGAGGAGAGCCCAAGCTGTATATCCTCATCGAGGGTGATACTGAGCTTGTGGTGTCGGCTGCTTTGAACGAGATGACGAGACTCCTGAGGGAGGGCACCATTGCTGCGGCGGACGCGGATAGCAGGGCTCCGGCCAGCGGAAGGTATACCGTTACTTAGACGGGAGTTGAGAATGTTTGCTTCTTACATACGTACACCGGCTGAGAGAGAAGTACATAATTGAGAGTGCATGAGGTATTGGCACACCGAGGAATACGCTTGCTAGGGCTGGTACAATACTTGTCGACTTCACCACGCTCCCTTGCTGAGTGTGAAAGTTTTTTTACTTTAGGCAAAGGAAAGGCGCAAGGAGGGAGGTTGTCTTTTGATTCCTCGCTGAGGATTATTCGCAATATGACGGAACAGGCGTCTAGGTTAGTGTAGGCATTAATGTATGAGCCTTTCATTTCATGCCGGTCATTGTACAGGGTGTATTCGTAGAAATAGTAAATTCGCATGCTGGTGCTAGAGTACATGAACGTACGTTGGTCCTAGGTGTGGAAAGGTATCTAATCCAAGGTAGGTATGAACTAATCATTCGAAGCAAAAGAAAGAGAAAGAAGAAGAAGAAGGACTCCAAAAAAAAAGAAAAAAAGAAAAAAAGGACAACCAGCTGTGACGCCCAACGCACTCAACCCCGTCGACCTCTTCAAAGCCTCCCTCTCAAGGTAATATGTATACGCAGGACCATCATCAATGCTTTGTTCCCAGTCAAAGCGCAATATCCTTTGACATCGGCCTTCCTGCGCCCCTTGGAAATGTACAATTGTATCAAGATGTAAGTTTAGACTCGCGGTACAGGTAGGAAGGTAGTGTACTGGTTCGTGTCTGTTTTCCGCGCAAATCGAATCGGATGGGTCGTTTTATCACTCCCAGTTGCGCGCCTGGGCAGCCGCGTCAGCTTCCCTAGCGAGGAGCTCCTGGTTGCTCGCCTCGGCGAGGGCGCTCGAATGGCTCTGTTTCTTTTGCGCGTTGAGCTGCGATTGGAGCTTTCCGCCTTTGGAAGATGCTTTTGCGCGGGCCTTGATTACACACGAAGATCCTGTCAGTATACACACACACACATTCCTCGGGAGAAAGGGGGACAAGCAGTCAATAGGACAGCCCAAGGAGGTTGTTGTTGAACTCACCTCAGCAGCCTCGGCAGCTTTCCTACGCGCGTCACCCGGGTCGCTGCCAGCATCGCTGCCGCCGCCTGAGCCGAGGGTCCGCGGAGGACCGCCGACTTTCCGGGGAACGGGAGCGGTTTTCGGGCCTGGGGGCGGAGCTGAGCCGAGACGGCGGCCGGCGCGAGCGTCGGGCTCTGATTCGGTCTTGCCGCAGATGTTGCCCATTGCGCTTTCGTGAACAGGTTGGGGGGGGGACGAGGCCGCGATGTGGTTGTGCGCGTTGTGTCGGGAAGTTTGGTTGCCGAGGTAGGTAGGGACCCGATCTGGGTGAGACGTGGGAGGAGAGCGTCTGGCAAAGACGTAGATTGGAGTCGCGCAGAGGTTGAGGCGGTTCTATCGGGAGGGTGAACAACCCAGAAGAAGAGCAAAGAGTTCAAGCGAATCGAATATTCATAATGAGCGGCCTTCGTCCAAAAGGCGCTTCTTAGGTGTAATGGTAGGTTCGCGTCAAGAAGGAAACCAGCCGAATGTGATAAGCACCGATAAGGTTATTTCCCACGTTTTCTAGTGACGCACGCAGGCTTGCATGATGCAAACGCCTGGAGGGAATGCTAGGGAGAATGGGAAATGAGATGGGAACTCGTTTGTGAGTGGCTGCGCGGGCTTGGACTTTACATACCTTGGACGTTGAGTGGAGGGACAATGCACTTGACAGGGTCTCGGGGCGGGGCTTATTAATGGGCGAGGACTCTTTATGAGGCTTGATGTGAAATGATGTAGCGCTACCCGGGAGTCTGGGGGAAGAGACGGGATGTGAGATGCAGCTTGAGGTTTGGGAATGCTCGGTTGTTGGGATTTGTGTTACCGTATGGCTCTCAAGAGGAATTTAAAGTCTGCTAAAAAGCCAATTACCGGATGGGCAAGCCCCAAAGTTTGCATCAATCTGGATGAGGTGCCTTGTTAGAAACGTGCTTGTCCCGAACAAAGTCAACCATGATGCAATGGGAGAAACAACAGAGACAGATTCTGAGTCGCACACCACGTGAAAAGCGCAGTTCCCAAGGTACCTATATTAACATGACACATTAGGTATGTCTTGTCTCATAACCAAACAGCAATGCATCTTCCAGCAGTTGCCTCGCATGTCGTGACCCGTCTGTCAAGGACCCTTACCGTAGCGTAGGTACCTAGACAGGGACTTTGAGGTCTTGCGTCAGCCTGGCAGCCATCCACTGCACTGGCATTCGTCCAATGCGTGACGAGGGAAGTAATCGAAGAGCTTTTTGCGGTAGACTACATGACTGTACTTTGCAGCAGCAGTTGCCGGGCGCTCGCACCAAGTATTTGCCGGTATGCACAAACTTCAGGCTGTCGGCTTGACGCTGTGGGGACCAACTGGAAGCCGTTAACAGGCCCCGCCATCACTAGGCCCTGAATGGCAGTGTGGGGCTCAGCCGCGCAAAAAGACATAAATACGGCAAGTGTTGCAACAGCTCTTTCGAGGCCGGCAGACCATCAAGGTTCTCGCTCTTTGCCTTTGTCAGCCAGGGCCAACCGCAGGCGGGCGCTCCTTCCCACGTCCGCGCCTGCGCCTGGCCTGCACCTGCGCTTGTGCTTGTGCGTGTGCTTTTCCTGTTCCTGCCGTTTTCTCTTTTGCGGACTCGAGGCTGGCCGGGATTTTATTTTCTTTTTATATCTTCCCTCTCTTTTCTCTTCAGCCTTTCGGCATCTGAAAACCGTCACCACTTGTCCCGGCTTCGGCAGCGCTTTCTCAGCCTCTTGCGATCTATTTCTGCAGCCTTCCGCCGGCATTCCCACCTCCTCTCTGCTATGAACTGTGAGCGAGGCGACTCTCGTTATCGGTAGGACTTGAAATGCCTCTCACACGCAAGGTGGATATGCAGAATTGCTGATGCTTTACACAGACAGCCCGCCGAAGCCGTGTCTGACAGAGCATGGACGCCCGTCGTCTGCCGTGCAGCAGATTCATGGAACTCACTCGTCAACTCTCCCATGACTCTTCAGTCGACACTCCTCCCGATTTCTGTGAATTGATGGATGCGAGTCACCGGTTTCCTCGCGCAATAGACCCGGCGGATGGCCATCTACCTCACGACGATTTCTGCCTGGACTCTCAAGCATCGGTCTACTCTGCCGAGTCTCCCAAGCCGTTCAAGATGCCGTCTAATGCTTTCAAGACATCGCCATCGAGTACTTATACCATGGCTTCTCTGATGGGGTACGCCGTCCAGCCACAGTCACAAGCTCAGCACGGCAATTCCACCCCCGCCGAGTCACCCTCAGTTGCCGAACCCCATTTCTCCTTTTCCTGGGACACCTATTTCAATGATACCCTTGCCGACGCTTCTAACTCTATTCGTTCTGGTAAAGATGCCTTGCGTCAGACGGAGAAAGACTGCGACGATGATTGCAGATCAATGCTGTCGTGCACATCTGCTTGCGGCATAAGCTGCCCGAGTCAATGCGGAGATTCGGGCCAAGGCATGTGTTGCGACGACGATGCGTGCGATGATCAAGAGCTCTGTCTTGATGAGATGTGTGAGGATGCAGTCACCCCCTGTACGGATGCGAACTGCTCAGGCCTCGCCAAGCTTGGGCAACTGCCTCTCGAGCCTGGCTTTTCAGACGGCGACAAGCAGGCTGCAGCTGCCCTCGCTGCCATCGGAGACACGCAGTTGGAACTCATGCCCGGCACCTATCAGCAGTTTACTCCAGACTCGACATTCGGATCTCACTCTTGTTTCTCAGGGGCAGCATGCAGCCATACTTTCCCGCATACCTTCTTCCAGACGACGACCGATGATGGCTTGGCTGGTCAGTTTTGGGAGCATCTTAGTCAAGAAGATCCTCTCACGACTCACATTCTGCAGTACCACGACCCTAGGCATGTCGTGGACCATGCTCGTCCATGTATTGCAGACAATCCCAATCTCACCATTCCAAAGTGTGCCCTTCCAAAAACCATAAACGGCGATTTTCTAAGCCATGGCCTGGGACATAACTCACAGGATTTTGCGTGTGGTTTCGAAGTCAACTCACTTGACCAGTTCGCTAATCACATCTTCGAGGACCATTGGTATATGCACATGCCAAACTCCGGCCTTGGGAACCTTTCCCAGCCGTCGCAACTGGAAAACAACTTCTCCTTGATACCCAGCCGACCCAGTCTCACACCATCATACTCTTCAAACGTACCTTCAACAAATGATATACAGCTCACAGCGCCGGACTCGTCCCTACAGAGCCTACCAGTGGTCTCACAACTTTCACCTCCCCCTACCTCGCAAACGACAAGTCCTCCCCCACAGCCCGAGGAGTCTTCTACGGAGTCTCAAGCAGAATCGCAATTAGAATCACTGGCATCTGAGTTGACTCCAATTTCAACACCCGATCTGGAACCCGTGGTCGAACATACTTGTCTATGGAAGTCATCGGATGGCAAAGTCTGCCATATGCAGTTCAAAGATGCTGATGACTTGCATAACCACACGAAGAATGACCATCTGAAGGATATGACTCGGCAACACCCAGGATTTCGCTGCCAATGGGAGAACTGTACCAGAGCGACGGTGTTTGGCCAGAAGAGCAAGTTGGAACGCCACATACAAACTCACACAGGGTGTAAGTGAAAATGTCTTGCCTTCTCTTGAGCTTCCCAGAGTTCTGACAACAAGTATAGACAAGCCAGTGAAATGTTCCATTTGCGGCCTGCAGCTGTCGGCAAAGCAGTCGCTCGACCAGCACATGAGAGTGCACACCGGCGAGAAGCCTTGGAAATGCAAGTTTCCGGGATGCTCGCATGCCTTTAAACAGCAGAGCGCACTTAGTAAGTAGTTGCGCCATTTCATTCAGCAAGATCAATCTTCTGACATTCTGCTAGCCATGCACGAGCGAACACACACTGGATACAAGCCTCTGAGATGCGACATATGCGGCAAATCGTTTGGGGAGTCGTCGAATCTTTCCAAGCATCGTCGAACACATAATGAGAGGGGCGAGCACTCTTGTCCCATCTGCAACAAAGACTTTAACCGCCTGGACCAGCTGAGACGCCATTTATACAGCAACCACAAGTGCAAGCCGGATGAGGCGGAATCTATCGCAAAGGCAAATAAGGCCAAGTTGGGCAAGGGACCGAGGTGAAGAGTCACCATCGGCTGATACCCGGGAGAACATTTGAAGAAAAGGACCAAAAAGAAAACAAAAAGACAAAACGGCGCAACAATCGTGAGCGCGTACCTGCGCGATGCACGCGGCCGTTTGCCTCAAAAAGTACTATAATGACGGTTACGCCAAGGACAAGGACAGGTTGAACCTTGGAAGTACATACCTGTCTGGGAATGCTACGGCACCTTTGATATCTCTGCCTGGGCCAAAAAGAACGGCTCATTTTGATATAGAGTACAGTTTCTGTTCCATAGAGGGCCAGCATAAGCCGCGAGAGCTTATTTGACACGAGGCCACACAGCCTTAGGATATAGTCACTAGACGTCGCTTCGTAGGCTGATGCTGGTCCCCTGGAGTTCCATTCGTACGGATAAGTGACGATTGGGTAAGGAGGAGTATATGGGAGCTGCGATATTCAAAAGTAATTGAAACATTTACGTCTGATCACGTACCTAGATACCCTCCCCTCTGGCGTAATTCTAGGCAGTCTCTTGAATCAGACTTGAACAACTTGGCATCCGCAATGTAGTATGACAGACAGGCAGGGCCTAGGTAGTCTGCAAGCTTGGAGCTTGGGAGACTTATGACACTTGAATCCACAGGAAACGCGAACTGCTGAAAACACCGCTGTTATTGTAATGGTATTGAAACAGTTTCGAAACTACGATACATCTAAGTTGATTTTGAGCAAAGTTAAAACCGGTTGTGATCGCTCCCTTGGATTTTCTTTTCCCTTTCTTTTTTTGTTACATTTGCCATTGGGCATCCCTTCCCTTCCTTACCCTTTCATTTCTGCCCTTCTAGATTTTCTTTATTTTTAGTTTTTGTTTTCATTGTTTCCAACTTTTTGTGTTCTCTTGCCTCTCTTCCCGCTTCAGTGGTGGAACAGACGGGTGTTCTGCTGGACAAAGGTGATGCCCAGCTTCTCGGCAGTCTCAAAGACTGCGCTGTCGTTTTGGCTGCCGCTGGGGGCGGCGATGTACTTGACGCCTGAGCGGGCGGCGCGGAAGACGTTGTCGATGAAGGGGAACTGCAAGTAATTTGATTAGCAACCAGGCCTTTTGTGACGAGGATGTGGTAAAGGATTGGGCACAATGGTGACCAGGTGGAGTGTGAGCTCTGAAATTCAGGGGGGGGGGTCACTTACGAAGGCGTCGCTGGAGACGCAAACGTCCTTGAGCTGCTTCATCCAAGCCTCCCGCTCTTCGGGAGTAAACGCAGGAGGAACCTCCTCGAAGACGGCCTCAAAGGCCTCCTTCTCGGCGCCGTCCTTGGGGAGCTGGCCGCTGACGAGGAGGTCGATGGCGTTGCTCTTGTCGGGGCGCTTGGTGCCCTTCTTCCACTTGATGCCGAGGACGCGCTCGTGGAAGCGCATCCACCAGTTGTCGGCCTTGTCGCCGGCCAGGCGGGTGCAGTGAATGCGCGACTGCTGGCCGGCGCCGAGGCCGATGACCTGGCCGTTGACGGCGTAGCAGACGGAGTTGCTCTGGGTGTACTTGAGGGTGATGGTGGCGACGGTCAGGTCGCGGGAGGCGTTCTCGGGCAGGGCGCCGGCGTCCTTGGGGGTGATGATGGTGGTGAAGGACTTGGGCGAGATCTCGGCGTCGTTGCGGTGCTGCTGGAGGGTGACGCCGTAGACGGTGCGGGTCTCGATGGGGCCGGGGACGTAGTCCGGGTCGATCTGGAGGACCAGGTACTTGCCTCCCTTCTTCTTCTTGAGGATCTCCAGGGCGGCGTCCTCGTAGCCGGGGGCGATGACACCGTCCGAGACCTCCTTGGAGATGATGCTGGCGGTGGGGACGTCGACGATGTCGCTGAGGGCGATGACGTCGCCGAAGCTGCTCATGCGGTCGGCGCCACGGGCACGGGCGTAGGCCTGGGCAAGGGGCGAGCTGTCGATGCCCTCAATGTCGTTGACAAAGTAGACCTTCTTCTCATCCTCGGTAAGGGGAAGTCCGATGGCGGCGCCCGCAGGAGAGACGTGCTTGAAGCTGGCGGCCGCGGGCTTACCCAGGGCCTCCTTGAGCTCCTTGACGAGGGGCCAGGCGTTGAGGGAGTCGAGGAGGTTGATGTAGCCGGGAGAGCCGCACAGGACCTTGAAGGGGAGCTGCTGGTGAGCGGTATAGGCGGCAGCAGGCTTCTGGTGAGGGTTGGCGCCGTAGCGGAGGGCAAGGTACTGGTCTCCGGCGCCGGCGTACTCCTTGCGGAAGAACTCTGAGATGGCGGTGTGCTCGAAGGCCTTGAGGGCGTAGCGGTTGCGGCTGGTCTCGCTGATCTCGCCCTTCTCCAGCTCGCCCAGGAAGCCGGCGTAGTCGTTGGGGTCGCTGAGGATGGTGACCCTCTTGTGGTTCTTGGCGGCAGCGCGGATGAGCGTCACGCCGCCAATGTCAATCTCCTCGACGGCCTCGGGGATGCTGACGTTGACCTTGGCGACGGTGTCCTTGAAGGGGTACAGGTTGCAGATGACATAGTCGACCTTGTTGATGTTCTGGTCCGCCAGGTCCTTCTCGTCGGACTCGAGGTTGCGGGCGAGGATACCGGCGTGGACGGCAGGGTGAAGCGTCTTGACACGGCCGGCGAGCATCTCCGGCGCCTTGGTGATGGCGCTGACGTCCCTACACGCCGCGGCGCATTAGTTTTTTTGCAACGTCTTTGTGTATGAGCTTCTCGAGAGCTTCCTCCTGACCGTGCGTCCGTTCTCCCACCCACGACTGACAAGTCTTCGTTTCTTTCTCTCTCCCTTTTCTCCGTTCCAAACATGAGAATTGGGGGCATTCATACTCAACAGGGAATCCAGACTCGCGAATCATGCGAGCTGTGCCGCCGGAGGCCAGGATCCGGACATTGTTCTGGGCAAGACCTTTAGCCAGGTCCAGCAGGCCCGTCTTGTCGTAGACGGAGACGATGGCGATCTTCTGGTCGGACATGGTAGCGGCAACTATGCTTGAGCACAATTGGGGGGGAAGAACACAAAACCAAGAAGAACGAGTCGAGATGGAAGAAGAATTCCTCCTTTCGTCTCTTATACTAACGAGATAGACAAAAACGAAGAGCCGATGTAGGAAAGATACGGGAAAAAAAAAAAAGTAGTTGGCGGGGTAGCAGCGCAGGATCCCTTCCGCTGCTTGGTGGGGTGTTGAGGGGAATGATTTGCGCTCTGGCGCTGTAATGGTGACGACTTAGCGGACTGATTGGACGGCGATTGTGAGCTGGAGCTTGTGAGGCACTTAATTAGAGGGAAATCGAAGCTTAGAGTGGGTTCTGGGATAAGAGAAGAAAAAAAAATTCTTTTGGTCAATTTGTTGAATAACTGCGACGACTAATAAGAGACACTCTGAGATGGACGTTGGTGGCAGGTGGTTGTCCAGACGTATGCTCGCAGTTTGCTTGCCTGTCTTCTTGTAGTTGATCAGAAGCAATACTATGCTAGTTGGTGACCGTTCGTTCTCTGCTTCTAAACTGCTTCATTTTCTCAAGCCACCACGAGATAAGCTGGATCTGCAGAGCAGCATCATTGGAAACTTTGTGTCCTGTTTAACCGCTTTCATAAAGATTTGCATGGATAGTTTCGTCGACTCTTTGTATTAAGCTCTCCTTTCGGTGGGCACTGAGCGCGCGTTGTGGCTTCTCTCGAAACTATAATGTTGAGTTACGTTGATAAAGGTGGGCATGATAAGGAGACGCTGATATTCCTCGATAATCCTCAGTTGATCTTCGCCGCGGCTGTCCAGGAAGCCAGCGTTCTGACTTCCGAGTCTGCTCGAAACACGAATGCGGTATGACTATAGAGATCGAAAGGCAGCGTCAAGCATTTCACTCGAAATCCAAGTGATTGCTGCCAGCATCATCCGCCTTGGGCCTGTCGTAACATCCATGGATCACATTGCGGCGAGTCACCGGCACTGGAAGACATGTCCGAAATCAGTCGAATTAGAGCCTGAACACCGCTTGTGCCTCGAATATTTCTTTTTTAGATCGTGACCTCATTTTTTTTGTTGGTATAGACTGTCGACCTAGCCAGCCCATCCAGGACGCCTCCCGTCCCAGACCGAGGCCCAAACCGGGAAAAACAAGTCCAATTCAGACCGGATTCCCCCCTGAGCCATGCGATGCAATTCGAGCCCTGTTGTTCAAGTGGAAAAAGCATGCTGCGCCTCAATGCCCCATTCTACCCAGACGTCCCTTCGCATTCCAAAGCACAATTAAAACATTTAGGCCTGTGAGAGTCATCGTTAGCCCAAACGATCCTTTGAGAATCCTTCTGTCCCTCCCTGGACCTAGAGTGGCTCGGGCATGGTATTTTGGACCATCGAGCCTCAGAGATGCCGTACCTTGATGGCGAACTTGCGCTGAGGGAAGTGGGTGTTGCGCTTCTTGGTCTTCTCCAGAACACGGGCCTTGTCCTCAGGTGATAATCGTCGGCGGATAGCGCGGGTCTGCTTGGGGCGGAGGTCGAGGGGCAGGTACTTGGCCTTCTTGTAGAAGAGGCGGAGCTGGTTTCGCTGAGTGGCGTTGGTGACGGTCAAGACACGAGCGATGGACTTTCGCAGGTCGTGGCTACACAGCGAGCGTTAGCCGCAACAATTTCTCCTTCATCTTACGTCGTTGGGTATCGCGCATGTAGGCGTCTGGCGGATCCTTACATCTTGTTCAGCTTGGAGCCGGAGGAGGCAACCTTCTGGATGCGGAGCTGGCCGAGTTCAGCCTTGAGCTCAGAGAGCTGCTTGGCCAACTCCTCCTTGTTCTTGCCCCAGAGCTGGGCAGTCTTGACTTTTCCCGACGACTATATCACACACAAAGTATCAGCAACCCGAATCCCCTGACGCATTTGTAAAATTGTGTGAAAGAGCGCTGCATCGATGGCGGATTGACGAGTAGCTGGGGGAGCAATTCGACGACTTCGTTGGTCGCATTCTTTCTCGGACGATAGCGCAATAAAATTCGATATTCGAGGGACAGCAGGGCTGGCACAAAAAAGGGGAACGTGTTCTTGAGGGCCTAGAAAGAGGGCATATTCATCGTTCGGAGCAACGACCGTATGTACTCACCATCTTGATGTTTCGATGTGATTTGCGAGAGTTGCGTTAGTAAAAGTCTTCCTCGACCGTGACCCGTCCGAATGTCGCGATGGCTCGTAACTCTCAAAAGAATTTAGTCGTAAGGGTTTGCCGAGTCTGGTGAAAAATTGCCCTAGGGCTTGGCTGAGCGTGCACCAGATTGCAGCGAGTTGGAATTTTTCATTGGCCAATGAATTGTGGAGCGCTAGTGGGTAGCGAAGGTGCTACCACGTGAGATGTCCCGTGCTCTGAGCTCGGCGCTAGGTAAGGCGGTGAAGAGATTCTGCCGTCGCCTACAGACGGAGACGGGCGTCAGACAATCCGCGGCCCGGGGCCTTGTTGCAATATCGTCATCAAGAAGCACCCTGAATTGCCTACGTTTGCCGTTTGTATTTCGCCAGTCATGGCCGCACCATCAGGAAGCGGAGGCTGGGCCCAGTTGCGCCAGCAGGCACGCTCATTAGAAAACCAGGTGAGAACCATCAGCTATGGGGGATACTCTCTATTTCTTGAGCTGACTCGCTGACCCTCCCGACCGGCCTCTAGACGGAGAGTCTCTTCCACACATACTCTCAGTTCTCTGCCGGATCCAACATCCCGCCCAAACCCTCAACGGAGGAGCGTGAAGTGGAAGCGAAACTGGAGGATGTGCTAAACAAGGTATGTCCAAATCGACCGCTCCCAATGGCACATTGCTGCGAGCTCTTGCAGCTAACCCGTGCGACTTGCAGCGCGAGAATGTCATCGCTCAGCTCGGCCGACTCCTGGATTCGGAAGCATCCCTGAACACCTCCGCCCTCAAGCAAAACAACCTGTCCCTGCTCCGAGAGAAGCTCGCCTCTCACCGCCGCGACTTCACCCGCCTCAAGTCTACGCTACAACAAGCTCGCAATCGCGCCAACCTCCTGAGCAACGTCCAGTCCGACATTGACGAGTACCGCGCGAACAACCCGGAAGCCGCCGAGGCCGACTACATGCTGGATGAGCGTGCCCGCATCGATAGAAGCAACGACGTGACGGACAGTGTCCTTAGCCAGGCGTATGCCATCAACGAGAGCTTCATTGTGCAGAGAGAGACGCTGGCGAGCATCAATCGAAGGATAACGATGGCCGCTAGTAAAGTGCCAGGCATCAACTCCATCATCGGGCGCATTACAACCAGGAAGAGGAGGGACGGGGTCATTATGGGGACTTTTATCGCGATGTGTTTCATCGTCTTCTTTTGGCTCAGGTAAAGGAGGTCATGTCTGCGTTACTTGGTTCCATCATATGAGATCTTGGCGTTTAAAGGGGGTATCAGCGATTCTTGTCTACTTGTACACTATGGCAGGATCCATAGCACTACAGTTTTCTACTCGATCTAATAATACAGGCGCAGGGGTTTGGACAGATATCGAAACATCTACAAGGAGTCCTTTGTTTTTTCCAAGTGAGGCTTACCGGGAAGCTTCTCTCGCGCTGTGGCAGGGAGCAAGGCCTCCTTCTTGATATCCTCGACAAGCTTGGCCAGCCCCTTGGTCAGACTCTCGACCTCATCTGGGTGGCTCGACCCGCTGCCGGCCCAGCGTATCCTGCAGTGATGGTCAACCAGATATGTGTAGCCGACCTTGCTGTTGAGCAGGCCTATCGACTCCCGGATCTCGTCCGTGATGCCCCTCTGCACAAGGAAGTACTTATCCCAGTCTTTCTCTCCAAACCTCTTGCGCAGTGAGCCCATAAAGAGCTTCACCAGGAATGCTTTGCCCTTGTTATCCTCGTAGTTGATCCTGACGAGTTGCGCCGCCTCGCCGCTGCGCTCAAGCACCTCGTGAAGCTGCGGGTTGGCCTCTTTCGATACGAAGCTCTCGACCTGCCGCTCCGCCCACTGGCTGCTGAAAATGGACACGACGGATGCTCTGCCGGAGAGTAAGGGAGTCGTGTCGCGGGGGGTCTTGTCGTTCTTGAGGAGTGTCTGGCCGTAAAGATTGGGGAAGAAAAGGGAGAGCTCGGCCTTGAAGAGTCGGGGCGGCGCAATGAAGGATTTGCCCTCGTGGTATTGCAGGTTGCCCCAGTCGCGGAAGTAGGGTCTCGATATCTTGGCGGTCCTTGAGTTTAGATGGTGTGTTAGCAGCAACCCTCATTCAACCATTGTGCTCTCCACCAAGTAGTTGGGTTTTCCCGTACAGCTCCTTGCGCCTCTGCAGATGCTTGTCATAGTTGACAAAGTCCTCCTTCCGCTGCTGCAGCGAGCGGCTGTCGATGCCCGTGTTCTCGCCCGGCAGCGGGGGCAGCGCCATGCCAATCGGCCGGGGCAGCGGCTTGGGCGTGAAGCCGCCCTCGACGCGCTTCCCGTAGCTGCGCGGCGCCTCGATGGGCGTCCCGGCGACGGCGGCCTTGGGGTCCATGGCGGTGCCCGAGGCCGGCTTCTCAGCCCTGGCGGCCGGCGCGGCGGAGGCGGTAAACGCGCGCCATTGGCAGCGGGCGCATGCGGATCTCGAGGTCGAACGGAGGAGGCCGCCGAGGGCCAGCTGCAGCGTCCGTGTTGACGACGGCATGGCCGGGGAGAGAATGGAAAGCGAAGGATGGAAGCTTGGTAATACCTAGCTTGGGGCCCTTGTTCGCGATGACGCCGGAAAAATTTGGCCTCAGAACGTGCAGGGCTCCATTCTTCACGGCCCCGGACGCAACGGCCTCCGGGGTGGCATCGGCAGCGCCCCAACGGCCATTGGCTCGATGGCAGCTCCACTGAAGAATCACTGGAGTTGAGCGGCTCCAGCACTGAGAGCCCACTAAGAAGCGCCCGTCTGCTCAGCTCAGCAAATGGCGGGCAAACCAGTGCACCCCAGCTCCATGTCAACCACTTTCAAAGCACTCCATCACCCCAGAATTCGGCTATCCGCGGGGCCTCTGGACAGCATCAACCGCAATGCCGACTGAAGCCACGGCTGGCCCTGGAGCATCCCGGTTTAGAGTCGGCCAAAGAGACGTCGATTATTCCCCTTGTTTAAGAAGTTTGGAAGTCGGCACTCCTTCATAATCACGTCGTATTTCCTCCCCTCCTTGGCCCTGCACCCGTCTTGCCGCGCAATTGGAACCATCCAAGACACCATGTTTCTGCAGCGAGGATCAAGAGTGCTGCGACGGCAATGGGGGGCTTCCAAGGCCATGGGCAAGATGGCCATGGCGAAGAACAAGAACGCCATGCCCGGCGCCCCGCGGTGGTTCTCCGAGTCGAGGAGGCTATACGCCGTGAAGCCGGTGCTGCTGGCTGATATCGGCGAAGGTGAGACTTGGTGTATATTGCCCTTGGGGGAGAGAGCGGGTAGATGCTGACATTTGGAGGCGGACAGGCATTGTCGAGTGTGAGGTGATCCAGTGGTTCGTCGAGCCCGGCGCGCACGTCGAGGAGTTCTCGCCTCTGTGCGAGGTGCAGAGCGACAAGGCATCTGTGGAAATCACGAGCCGCTTCTCCGGCGTCGTCAAGAAGCTGTACTACGAGACGGGCGAGATGGCCAAGGTGGGAAAGCCGTTTGTCGACATCGACATCGAGGGCGGGGCCGAAGCCGAGGACGCCGGTGCTCCCAAGGCGGCGGATGTAAGCCAGGAGGCAGCAGCCTCGCCTTCAACACCAGCGCCAGAGTCACAGTCGTTGCAACAGGCTGAAGCTGGTGTGGTGGCGCAGGGACAGAGCCAGACGCCGAAGCCCAAGGGCAAGGCCGCAGCACTGGCGACGCCTGCGGTCCGACATCTATCCAAGGAGCTCAAGGTCGACATCGCCGACATTGACGGCACGGGCAGGGACGGCCGGGTTACAAAGGAGGACATTTACAAGTTCGTGCAGCAGAGAGACGCCAGCGCCAGCGCATCGGCTGCCTCGCAGTCTGCGTCCGCGCTGCCGCAGCAGCCGCCGCCACAGGCCCCCAGCGGCCAGCCCTCGGTGCAGACGGAGACGCGAGTCCAGCTCACCAACACGCAGCATCAGATGTTCAAGACGATGACGCGGTCGCTCAGCATCCCCCACTTCCTCTACTCGGACGAGGTCGACTTCACGAAGCTGGTCCATCTCCGCGCCCGCCTCAACAAGGTCCTCGCCCAGACGCCGGCGGCGCCCGGCCAGGTGGCCAAGCTCTCTTACCTCCCCTTCATCATCAAGGCCGTCTCCATGGCGCTGTACCAGTTCCCCATCCTCAACTCGCGCGTCGAGATCGACCCGGCCACCAACAAGCCTTCCCTCATCATGCGGTCCCTGCACAACATCGGCGTGGCCATGGACACCCCGCAGGGCCTGCTGGTGCCGGTCATCAAGGACGTCGGCTCCCTCAACATCCTGTCCATTGCCGCGGAGCTCTCCCGCCTGCAGGGGCTCGCGGTCCAGGGCAAGCTGACGCCGGCCGACTTCTCGGGCGGCACCATCACCGTCTCCAACATTGGCAACATTGGCGGCACGTACCTCAGCCCCGTCATCGTCGAGCGCGAGGTGGCCATCCTGGGCATCGGCCGCATGCGCACCGTGCCGGCCTTTGACGAGAATGACAACGTGGTGAAGAAGCACGTGTGCAACTTCTCGTGGAGTGCCGACCACCGCGTCGTGGACGGAGCGACCATGGCGCGGGCCGCCGAGGTGATTCGCCGGGTGGCCGAGGAGCCGGACGTCATGGTCATGCACCTGAGATGATGACGACGACTGGACCGCAACGAATAGAGAAAGAAAGGTGTATGTGTAAAGAGCTTTAGATTATGTTCATATGCCATGCAGAGATTGGTTCGATTTCAAAAGCTGTTTTGTATATAGTACTAAGCTGTTTTCCTAGTCCTCACGCAAATAAAGACTATCATTTCGACTTACACGACAGATCTACTGCCTGATACCAGAGCCCGCCTCCGCCCTCTTCTTCCACCCTACAAATGCTGCATTTTCTCCAATAGTAGCCGCCCGGCCATTTCACGTTCGCAGCAGCAGGTGGAGGACACGAGGGATGCAAGATGACGACATTTATTTCAGTTGCCCTTTTTTTTTTTTTTTTTCTCGTTCCGCCTTGTTCCAGATCGTCCCCCAATACATGAGGTAGGTCCTCGTACTAAGGTCAGCTTAGCATCCCGCATCCGCATCCGCATCCGAAATCTGCATATAATACAACTCGAACCCTTCTTCGAAACTCACCCTGCTTATAGACTACTGCCGTGCTCCTGACTCTTTCACCGGCGTCTCCGCCTAACCTCACATCTGTTTTATTTTACACAATGAAACATATACGTAACGATACAACCACAAGAAAGGGGGGTTAAATCGGTATCCAACCATAACAGAACAACAGCAGCAAAGCAAAACAAAAGAAATAACAAACATCATCAAAGTGAAAAAAGGTCCTCCTCCTACTAGTAGTACTATCCCTCAGCTGATCCGCCCATTTCCCCATCATTCCCCATAAACCTGCCCCCCCGTTCCGTCCCCGTGACCGACCGAAATCTTTTCTGCAATCCCCACGTCTTTGAATCCATCCAATCTTTCACCACACCTCCCCCCCCCCCAACAACAACCAAAGTCCTGTTGTTGTTGGCTCCCCCTTTTTTCGTCACTTTACGTACATTACATGCTCGACCTTACATATTCAAACCTTTGCCTTACCTTCTTGAAACCAACCTTACCGGTGAATGCAGTATGTAGTATCTATCCATGCACTGCATGTAACGGAAGGGCAAGGTATGACGCTTCTGACGCCCAACGCTCACACACCTCCCTTCCCTCCCCAGCTCTCGCTCTTCCTGCCCCGAACATATGAAAACTAGTCTACTACTAATTAGTCCTGCGCATTTTTGCATTAGCGGGTTGTGTGGGTTAAGTAAGTGAAAGTTCCCTATATCATTCCGGAGCGAAACCCCCCCTGCAAGGCGTCTGAAGTTGTCTTGAAATTGTGAACCTCGACGGATAGGAAGACTTTCGCCCTTTTCCATTTTTTTTTCGACTCGTATGTATTGCAGTTCCTTTGCTTGACTTCCGGTGCAGAGTGATTTAGCGATGCAGCTTGAAAAACCGTAGACCCCTTTACATTCATCCGAGCCTTCAATGCTTTGTGTGGGGTAAAAGCAGGGCGAGATATCAGACGATGATAGTGAGCACACATATGTAGTATATGTCGTCGAACAGGCAAGAGAACATCACGGAGCCGGTAAAACGCACCAATGCTGTCGCTTCCATGCGTAACGCAATTCTCATCTATTTGTTGCCTAGGTAATATGCTGCCATGCCCGCGTGGGATGAAAGTCATCCAGCCATCTCATGTCCCCTTTGCCCGCAAAAGGAAAATAAAGCAAAGTCATGAAGATCAGACGATACACGGCAAAAACTGGAAAAAGCAAAAAAAATGAAAGGCAAGGGATTCAAAATGACAACCTGCGCGCGCACAGCCACGCATAGAGCCTGCCCTCTGTGCGAACCCTGTTCCACTGCTTGATGCTTGTCAGACAACTTCATGCCCAACTTCCATGTCCAACACAGCACAGCTCTTTTTCCCCCCCTCCAACCCTCCCCCATTTGCTGGCTGACCGAGCCTTGCTTGTTAGTCTCGGCTCTGTTGAGTCCCAACTCCACACGTCCGATGCGAACCCATAAATTTCCTGCGCCGCCGAAGAAAAAGGATGAAAAAAAAATGCCCAAAAGGAAATAGCCGAAAAGGAAATGATGCAAAAGAGATTTGGTGCCATTGCTGGCCCGTCCGGTTCCTCCAGAGCCCGCAGCTGATATACCGAAAGAAAAGATCTAGACCGAGAACGCAAAAGAAAATGGGAAACCCCCAATTGGGCTGCTGAGATTTTGAGAGAAAAGGGAAGTTGCTGTTGGCGGAGAAGATGAGAATGAACAAGTGTCATATGACTCCGATGTCGCATATCTGCATATCCGCCAGAGGCCGTGATTTTGAGGACCGAGAGGAAACCCAGACATTCTTTTCGGGGGCCGAATGAAAAGAGGAAAGTGTAAAAAAAGGCCAAGACGGCTGAGGGTCCGTCATCCGTATCAGACGATGCCGCTCTATTGGCTGTCCTGGTCCTTCTCCAAGGTCTCAATGGCCCTAGCCAGAGCGTCCTGCTGCACCTGGGCCAGGGGTCGGCTTACATCGATGGTGATGACGTCTGTCTCGTTTTCAGAAGGTCGCTCCAGGATGTCGAACTGGCTATGCACCATGTTGGCGCCCATGTAGTGGTTCTGGCGCTGGGCAACGCGCCGCAGCAGCAGCTCCTCCGAGGCGTCGAGGTAGATGAAGTGGATGAGCAGGCGGTGGTCGTAGTAGGCGGCGACGCGGATCACGTCTCGGTACTTGCGCTTCAGCGCCGAGCAGGTCATGACGACGCCCGTCTGGCCCTCCTTGATCTGGCGCATCGACTCCTCGCGGAGAGCCGTCAGCCAGTCCCAGCGGTCCGCATCGGTCAGGGGGATTCCGTCCCTCATCTTTTCGATGTTGGCCGGGGTGTGGAACTGCCGGCAATTATCATGTTAGTAACGGCACTTCTCAGAGACATCCGGGGGAAGTTGTCAGCATGACAGCTGAAAAGGGCATTGCGTACCGAGTCGCCCTCGATGTAGGGCATGTTGAGGGCGTTGGCCAGATACTCGGCAACGCTGCTCTTGCCGCACCCGGCAGGGCCAGTGACGAGGAAGATGTGCGTGTGTCCGCCGGCTTGTCCGGCCATCTTGCTTGCGTTTGCCGCCTGAAGAGAGGTGCCGTTCGTTGTGGGCTGGATGGAGGGCAGAGCAGCCGAAGTGGGTGCCTTTTGTCCCTGGGGGACGGTATATGAGGTATCAACGGACATCATCGTGGCGAGTAGAAGAGGGCGCTTCTATAACGAGACGGAAGGAGAGATGTGGTTGCAATCGGATTCGACCGAGGATGAGTAGAGCCGGCCGATAGAGTTTAGAGATCTCTTGTCTGACGAAAGAAGAGCAAACAAGACGCCAACGGTTGTATGTGGATGGTTGCAGAGAGCCCGGTCGTGCAGCCTAGTAGAAGTCTAAAGGGGTGGGACTTGCTGAACGCAGAAGAATGACACAAGATGGAAGGTGAGGTGAGTGTTGGCGCGAGGAAACGAGTACCACGTATGTACAAGTGTAGAGGTATGAAGTGATTGCAGCCTTTTCAAACTTGTGCGGATAAAACAAGATGAACCTTGACAGGAGGGACAGGAGAGCTTTTTGATCCAAGGCCGGCGGCTCGGAGGAGGCGAGCACCTTTTAATACCCTTCGTGCCGAGTGCCACTCCCGTAAAGCAAGCACCACCACTTTGCAAGGTAAGGCCGAGGACTGTACGTACTCCCGGATGGAGCCCGGCTGGAGTAATCTCCTACAACTACTACCACGAGTACAACTACGAGTACAACAAGGTAGCCCCTTGGTTCTCAGACAAGCTCAGTCAGTGGTGAGTCGGTAATATGGGGGTACACCGGGCCGGCAGTCTGTACAGGCAAGTATTCCATGTACATCTACATCACTGCGAGTGACAAGCATGACCTGAAGTGCATGAAGAAAAAGGGAGTGGAGGGCAAGGGACAGGCTGGAAAATGGCCGGGGGGGAGCAGCAGAGCCCAACCCAAAGCGCCGGTTTCTAAGTGGGAAGATGGGCGAGACAAGGGAAGGTAAGGCAAAGGCAAGGCCAAGCGGGAAAAAAGACTTTTTTTTCCCAACTGTGACACAATACTGGGGTCATTACGAGCGCCGTCCGGTCCCTCACTCCAAAGACTCCATCGAGTCTGGGGAGGGGAGTGGGAGTGGCTCCCCTTAGGTTGCCTATAAATTACCGCCTGGGCCAGTCGGGCTGGAACCGTGGCCCTCTTGTGGCCCTCTCTAAGCTGTTTAGCTGTTTAGCCCGGCGTGCCGGCGACTCGGTTCGGGCGCTCGAACACGTCGGGGGCTCCCCGTTCCATGCCAGCGCCCCCCTGCCCCTTTGCCCTCTCTGCTTCCATTTTGCTTCCTTTTTTCTAGATGCTGCCATGGGTGTCCCCTGCCGGCCAGTCATGCGAGCAGGTGAGATCAGGGGGCCCTGCGAAGAGTGGGCGTGCCGATGGTCGGGGGAAGAAGAAACAAAGAGGCAGAAGCAGAGCGCGGGATGACGTCGACGGGCCTAAGCAGGCGGACAGGCACCTCAGTTGGCTGCTGCTTGGTGGCGTCAAGTTGCCGAATCACACGTCCAAAGTAGTGTCTGTCTGGACTGTAGTGGATGGTCAACGGAGGCAGACAGAATGAGAGAAGATGGAGGCGATGGGAAAGGGGAAACCGGATGGTGAACGGGCGAATGAGGGACGGAGGGAAAAGGTGTGGAATAGCGCAGCGCAACTCTGAGCGAGAGGGCGAGAAGCAGGCTGGCTGAAAACCTGCTGCAAGGAGGCCAATCAGCTCCACCGGCGGGACAGAAGGATGGGGGAGAGGCAGAATCTAGATACCAAGAGGGTAGAAAAGCGAAGCAGAAGGAAGAAGAAAAGAGTCGAGAGTCTTTGGACCGTCGGCTATTGCACTTGACGTCTGGTCTGCGGGATTTGTCATTCAAGGCGCTGTTTGACGAAGTACATACAGACGGGGGTACAGCGTACAGGCGCCGCATGCGTCACATCAACCGCCTTCTGCCTGGGTAGCGAGGGTATCGTCCACCTTGCCCTGTCGCGCGTTCTCTAAGGTACCTTATTGATTG